AAGAATAAATAGCTTAATAAAGTTTAAAAAGATTAAATTAACGCAATTAATAAGAGCTATTTTAAACTATTCCTAAGCCTTAATAAAATAAAATTAAAGCTATTAGCAATATTTTTATTTCTTTTTTTAAACCTATAATTTCTTAGGCTTTGCATTTAAGATAAGACGCATTACTTAAAGAGGAAATAAGTAATATTAAGCATAAGTATTTTTTTATAAGTTTGCTTATGAATTATTCCTAAATCCTAAGATCTTAAGTTTATTTAATAAATTAGCAATAATAGCATAATTTAAAATAAAATTATAATAATAACTTATAAAGCCGATATTCTATTTTAATTTTACAAGATTAAATAGCATCTTAAAGTTATAAATAGCCTTTATCTTATTTATAGTTATAGAAAGTTTAAGCTTAAATATATAGTGCTTAAAAGCTTTTAATCTAGCCTAAGTAAAATAATACTTTGGCAAAGATATTATATAGCCGCTATTTTTAATACTATAAAAATAAGCTTAAGATATTAAATATATTTATTAATAAAGCAGGAAAAGATTATAATATTATTAATATAAATTAATATAAATTCCTAAAGATATATATTAAAAAAGCTTTTTATGCGATATTAAAAGAAAGAGAGGGAAATTATAAGATTTATAATAGCTATAGCTATATGCTTAAGGCCTTAATAAGGAGTAATAAAGGTTATCTTTTAGCAATCCTTAAGGGTAATAAGTTGCTAAAAAAAGCTTTTAAGGATGTTTATAATGGTAAATATATTATAACCTTTAAGAAAGTTAAGTATATTATTTTATTAAAATAGTGAATAATTATAAAGAATAAGCTTAATATTAATTTAATAAAGGTTAATAATTACTTAAGGTTTATTATTACGTTAAATAATAAAGGCTAGCATTATAATTATATAGTTTTCTCTTAACTAGATTAATTCTACCATATTTATTTTAATTAGTTTATTAATGATTTTATTAAAGGCTTTGCAATCTTTTTATAATATATTATATAGCTTTTAAACTAAGTTATTAAGATTAATATTTAGTTTTAAGGGAATTTTTATTTCTATATTATTATTAAATTATTTTAGCTTTAATTAAAATAATTAAGCGTATTAAAGGATGGTTTATTTAATCTTATATATCTTATTAAAGCTTTAGCTAAGGTTTATATTTATATTATTAATATTAAATTATAAATTTAGGATTAATATATTAAAGGGATAGCTATTTAAGAATAATAAATATAACTTTTAAGTATTTAAAAAGCTACTCCTTGTAAATTATTATAAGTTAATCTTTAAAATTAAAAAAGAGTAAGATAATAGCGGCGCTATTTATAATGCTATTAATAAGGAAGCTATAAGTTAAGCTATAATAATTTAAAATAACTTTAAGTTTAATAAAATACTTAAAAGCTTAAATTAAAAGTTCTTAAAAATAAATTTAAATATTAAAATCTTTGCTAAGTAAAATAAGATATTTATAAGTTGCTTTAATAGCAGCTATTTTGCATTAAGTAAGAAAATATTTAATATAAGTAGCATAAATCTTTTAACTTATATTTAAAATAGCAATTAACTTATTATTATTTAAAGGGCCTTAATATATATATAGTTAATACTTTTTTAAAAAAGGAAGATTAAAAAGCAAGCCATAAAATAAGCCATTAATAATATAAGCATTTTTCTTAATAAGCTAAGATTGCTTATCTTAATTAAGGATATTAATAAATAACTTAACCTTATAAATAATAATAGGATTAACTTTAACTTTAATCAAAAAAAGAAAAGTTTATAATAATTTATGCTTTAATTTAAAATAATATAATAAAAGTACTTTTTAAGATATAAGCAAAGTATTTAAAGCAGTATTAAGAATATTATTAATAAGCTTTCTATTAAGCATAATAAGCATAATGCAAAAATAATTTAACTTAAATAGGGAATAAAAAGAATAAGATACATTTTATTTCATTAAATATAAAAAAATGATATTAATAATAATTTTTATGATATTTTTATATATTATTAAAATAATAAAATTATTTCATTTTAAGGGAATTTTTAATTTAAATATAAAAATAAATACTAGCATAAGCTTAAGTTTTTTATTATTTTTTTATAAAGATAAGTTATAAAGAAATTATTTTAAAGGGTTAATAATAATATTAACTTTAATAAAGTTAAAAATAAAAGAAATTAAGGACTTCTTATATAGTAAATGCATCCCTAAGGGCGTTTATTAAGTTATTTTTCCTATTTTAATTTTAAATTAAAGTTTAATTTAAAACTATTACCTATATTAAGTAAATCCTATATTAAATTATAAAATTATTAAATATTATTAAAAATTTCTTAAAAAAGGGTTTTAAGTTCTTTATTAATATTTATAATATATGCTTATAAAAAAGGTTATAAAATGCTATTTTAATAATTTTATAAAAGGAAATATTTATAAATAAAGCGATTTGGCTTATTTAACTTATTATAGGCAGTTTAATTAAAATAATTTCCATACCTTTTATTTTTATTAATTATAAAATTATTAGCTATCTTTTTAATTAAAAGTAAAATATTATGCATTGCTTTATATTTATAACTAGGGCTGCATAAATATATTAAATTATATAAATAATTAAAGCTATAATTATAAGTTTGCTTATAAATATTATGATAAAGGTAAAGAACTTATTCTTAGTTATTATATTATAGGAAATAATTAAATTATTTAGGTTTTTTATAATAATTATTATTTTTTTAAAAAGCAATAAACTGCTTTTATAGCTTATAAATTTTATAGCTTTAAGCTTTCTTTGCTTTTTTATTTTTTTGTTATTTTTAATAAATATTATATTTATTTTAATTAATAAGCTACTTAAAATCTTTAAGCTTATTATGCTAAGTTTATAAAGTAATTATTATATATAACTTAAGATTTAGTTTAGCGTAAATTTAATAAATCTAGGCATTTTTATTTAGCTCTTTAGCTTTATTATAAAGGTAAATTTTATTATTAATGTATTTATATAAAGGTAAAGCATCCTCCTTATTAAAAGAGTAGGATATTTTATTTACTTTAGCTATAAGATTATTATAATCCTTATAAAAGCATTAATAAAGCTTAGCTTTTTATAAATCTAAGTTATTAATAAGATCTTCCTGCTTATATTTAGTTAATAATATAAACTAATAAGCATTATTTAAATTTAAATTTAAAATAATTTTAATAAAAAGGTTAATAAGGATTATAGCTTTGCTATAAGTTTTTATAAAATATTAAATATAAGCAATATATATATTTACTTTAAAGCTATAAAACTTAAATATTTTTAACTTTAAATGCAAACTATTTTTATAAGCTAATATAAATATTTAATTTAAATTACCTTATTAAGTATAATGATTTTAATTATAATAAAAGCGGTTTTAAGGGTAAGAAGCTTTTTATTAAGGAAAGCATTTTTAGCAAGGGTATTAATAATAATTATTAATCTTATCCTTTATATTCAATTTAAAGGGAATATTATAAATAAGGTATTAATTAAAAAAGCTACAATCTTTAGTTAATAAATAAAGGGAGCTATAGCAATACTTATAATAAGGAGAGTAAATAGGTTAGCTGCTTATATTTTATTTATTTTTATAATTCTTTAGCTTAAGGAAGGTTTATTAAGGATTAAGGATAAAATGGTTAATTAATATAAAAAAGGCTTTTAAAGAGAAAGTGGTACTTATAGGTTTTGCAAAGAAATAGTAAGCTATTATTACTTAATTTTAGCGTTTTACTTTATTAAAGTTCTTTATAGCTTATTAAACTTAAGCAAAGAGTTAATTTAATATAATAGGATGAAGTTTTAAATATATTCTTAAAGCTATGCTTTGCTTAATAATATAAATAATAGCCACGTTAAAGAAATAGTTGCCTTAAGTATATAGGGGTGTTTATATAAGAGGAGTTAAGGGCTGAATATATATAAAGCGCTTAGTAGGTTTAAAACGAAATTCCTTAAAGTAATCCTTAAGTTTTAATAAATAGGCATGGTTTTAAAATAATTCTGCCTTAGCTATTTCGCTAACCTATTTTAATAAGAGGGTTTTATATTCTTTATTTCAGCTAACTTTAATTAAAGGGGATAAGTTAATATTAGATTTATTTTAATTAGGAAATTAGCTATAGGGAATGATTAACTCTTAAAACTAAGGAATCCTTAAAAAATCTTAAGGTAAAAAATTAAAGAAAGGTTATTAAATTAAGTTAAGGAAGTTAATAAAGCTTAATAAGGCTTAATTAATGCTTTATACCTTTTTAAGTTATATTTTACTAAAGAGAAAGTTATAATTTAATGCCTTAATTACCATAAGTTATACTTAAAGTTCTTTTTAAATAAAAGCAGGAGCTAATATTAATTATATAAGAATAAAAAAAGCTTTCTAAGCCGGTTTTAATATACTAGCAGGTTTAAGAGGTTGGTTTAATTTTGATTAAGGTAATTTAATAATAATGAAATATCTTTTTATATCTTAAAAAGGCTTGTTTTTTACCTTACCTATAAAGTTATTTATAAAAAGGTTTTAAATTAAAGTTAAAAGTTATTTAATTAAGGGGTTTTAATAGTTAAAAGTTTATTAAAGCTGCTAGGCTAATAAATATTATAGCTTAATAAATATAAGGCTTATTAATAATTATTTAAAGCATTATTAATAATATTTAAGGCCTTTAGCTAATTAAGTTAAGGTTAATAAGGTTATTAAATTAATTATGTGCTAAGAAAATACGGTTATTTAAATAATTGTAAGCAGTTGGTATTAAATTAATAGTTAAATTTCAATGTAAAAGTAATGAAAAGTTAAACTAAATTATAGTTATTATATAATAAGATATATAAGGGCTTTTAAAACTAAATTAAGGAACTAAATAAGGTTGCTAATAGCTAATTTAATTAAAGTATTTTGCAGAGTATGTATATGTATTAAGAGAAGCTAATGCTAGGCGGGCTATGGAAGGTGTGGTGTATTAGAAGAGAGGGGAGTGCTTAGTCATCCCCCAACAAGGCTGACGATGTTACTCCTTAGGGCGGGATCGTTGACCATGTAGCCCATGTTGTAGCAGACGGCGCCCTTGAAGGACGGGTCGGCCTTGTAGTTGGCGGCCATCCGGGCCACAGCGTCCTGGGTGAACTGCTCGCGGACCTGTTGTGCCGTTAGAAGATAACTCATGACCGGATCTTGACAAGGCTGGGCGCAGGGGAGAGGCAGCAAACACTCACCTTGTCCCAGGACGAGGTATCCCTGATCAGGCCTTTGAGGGTGTTCAAGCCTTCAGTGGTTGCCCAACCAGCGGCGGCAGAGGTGACACCGGTGATGATGGAGATTGTGATGGGGTCTAGACGCTTCTCGATCTGGCCGGATGCTGAAGTCTCGCTCTGGTCGACTGGTGCGGCAGCGGCAGTGAGGACGAAGGTGGCGGCGGTGAAGAAACGCATCTTGAGGTTGAAGTGGGTTATGTTTGGGTGAAGAGGTGCTGTGATGGCGAGAGTTCTTGAGTGAGTGCCTGGTAAAGAGGCAAAAGAGAAGCTGTGCTTGGTGCTGAAGGCTGGAGAAGATGATGGTGCTGATGATGTTCAAGACCGAGAGGATAGAATCAGGCCGGCGACGGTCTTTATATATGCATTCAGACATGGCCGGTGAAGAGGCCTCTTTGGTGTCGATACATGTCTTGGACTGGCAAGTTCATGATGATCTGCCGTCGAATTGCCTTGGGAACATTGTTCTACCGTTGGCAAACACCGATCGCAGGCTCAAGACTTATTCTACAGATTCTCAACGACCAATCGCAGACTGTAGAATAAATTGACAGCTAGAAAGTCCAGATGAGAATGTCTCCCGGCAGTTGGTTTGCCCATGGTCCGACTCGACTGTAGTACTGGATCTCACCGAGGCCTAGAAACATTGGACTATTCACCGTTGACTCCATAGCCCGAGAGCATGCAGGTCAAGCCTCTCTCGACGTATTTTTATCAGACAACGGTTCAGGCCGCCCACTTGGCTGAAGCTTAATCGGCCTCCCCCTGTGCGCAGCACCCCAGGAAATTTGGACGATCTACGTTTACATAGATGCATGGTTCACGGGAGGCCTTTTAGCTTCCGTTGCCGTCTCCTAGGGAGCCAATCGCTCTGTCGCGCTTCACCCCAACACACCAAACACCCGCATACATCGATCGCTCCATGTTGCAACCCTTTCCCAACCTCAATTCCTCAGCCCGCTTTCCCCTTCCTGCCTCGAGTGCCTGGAGAAACATGCAACTGTCGCATATTGGCTCAGGGTCTGGACCACTTCATAGCATGATGATCGAGTCAGTCTATGCTGCATGTCGGCACCGGGAAACTCTTCTGCCTCAATCGCTCGCCACAAATTACAGGAATGCTTTTGTTCTGGCCATACGTAGATGTTTTGTGAGCTTACGATACTCATCATAGTAACGATTTGTGGAAGAAACACACCAAGTGTCGTTGCATTCATAGTGCGCCCACATGAAACCCCGAGGCACTATTGTTGCAGAAAACAGCAGATGGTGACTTGAGCAGGAGACAAATCATAGGGACGGCTACCTCCTGACGAGGTGTCTTCATGTCTGTTGACACAACAGCGGACCACGGTACACAGCCCAGTGGCTCTAAGACTTAATCCTAAACAGCGGCAGACAGAGGGCAGATCAGACTGTGCAGTCTGCAGCGGCGCAATTGTCAACCAAGGCTTATTAAGTGGAGACAGCCTTATATAAATCTTACCTCATTGCGAAGATCTGGCAGCCTCCATGTCATGATGTCCGTGCTCGCGCTCAAGTAGCCGGAAACCGTTTTAATGCAGGTGCTTGTGTTGTTTCTGCGTCGGCCTAGCCGGGGCCAAGAACATAAACGAGGCTTAGTTAGATAGCTAGACATCATCGGACGAAACGCATTCGCCCGAGATACTTCTGCGGACAACAGCGAGAAGCTGATTAAACATTACTGAAAACAATGGGAAAATGAGTAGGTAAGGTTCAGCGCCTTACAGGAGAGGAGATGGGGGAAACCCCGGAGGGAGCAACCGTTTGCACAGAAAAGAGCCCTGGGAGACTTTATCGAGAAGCAAAAACTCACATCCATCAGTCCTTAATGCATAGAGTCAAAAGTTGAGATCAACAAAGCCACAGGGTTATGTATTGGTTTGTCTTACGTATGTAAAGCTTCTCCAGTTATGAATGCTGCCTACCTGTGCTAATTATGTCAAGGTACCTTCATAAATAGTGTCAATTTACTCATCACGGTCCAGGCTGAGTCTTTGCTTTCAAGACCTCTGGGCAATAAACTGTTGGCATAAATGCAAGGATCAGACATTCCCAGTCATCTAGGGGCCAACGGACATGTCGAGATACCTGAACTGCTTGTTAACTTCTGTGCTTCCTGATGCCCAGCAGAGATACTTGATCGAAGAGTGCCTGCACCTGACAAAGTATTTTACTTGTTCTCTAAATCATCATGGTAAAAACTTAAAAATAGAAAGACAGAGATATAAAGTTGAAATCTATTCTACAAGCTCGCATGATTCCGGCAGAGACCTTAGTGCAAATGAACAGCCACCAGTCTCTGAAACAACCCGATGAGTTTATACGTAATATACTTTCATTTCGTTTTCTTCTCATCCGTTCCCCTGAGTCACTTAGTATTTTGGTTCTGCCTGGCGTTACCCACACACGGAAATGGGTTTCCTAGTCCTCTTGTTGCCATAGTTTCGGGCGCTCTCTTGATAACTATCAGGAACCACAATACCATGACGCCGCCTACCCAGTATTATGACTTCAATTGCCACCCGATTACGGAGGACGCTGCGCTTACGTAGCGGGGAAGCCGCGAGGGCGCGGAATTGTCTATAAAGAAGGGAGAACTCTTCAACGGGGAAAGGAGGAGGAAGGAGAGGCTAAGTTCAGTTGTACTTTACTCTGCGAATCTATTGCTCCCGCGCTGCTTATACGCAGCGTGTACACTACGTATCCCTAGTCACTCTGCTTGTATTCAACAACCCTTACAATAACCCTGCTACACAAATGCACTACAATTCGGAAATTTTCAGGGCGGTTTTGCCCTACAGAACGGTTCGCAGGTGATGACCGTCTCCCAAGAAGATGGCTTTGATTTAAGTGAGTGCCTTCTATTCCCAGATGAATAGTCCCATTAAGTAGTTTCCACATAAAAGCTCTCACGCGAGATAATCTGTCGCAATTGTATTTACCGGTTCCAAATCCATGACGCTGTCGAGCTCCGTCCACTCTATTGTCCTGCCCGAAATACGGTGACCGAGAATTCGAGCACATTGAAAATCCCCAGAATACTCTCTGTCCTTCTTGCACGAAGTTGTACACAAGTCCTGTGTTGCGAATTTCCCAAGTCTTGTGTGGCATTAGTCCACAACAGCCATGCTGGATTTAGGTCGATAACCACAACGGTTGTCTCGTAAAGATACGGCACTGTCGAATCTCATTTTAGGTACAACGATAATACACTATTGCAATCAACTACCTGTGAACACGCCCACACCACCTTAAGACGGAAGAAATTTGCTTTTGCGAATGCTGAAAGAGAATTCACCAATATTTCAAGTTGTAGACCTCGAAAACAAGCAATTCACGTTTTGGGAATGTGCGAAGACTTGCTAATCTAGAAGTATTGATGAAGCACCCTTTTCATAGCTACTCATCTCCTCTCATGTGCAGCTGTTGCCCAAAATCAACTTTATTCTGTAATGCTGGTGAGACGACCTGCATACAGGTCTGTCAGACTCAAAGACAGTCATGAAGCCTCATAAACCCACTAAAATAAGAACAAGACAGTGCATTCGCCGGTTTGTACCAACGATGCAATGTCATCGCGACTGAGACTCGTTCCCATGCGTTCGCTTGACCCGTGAGTAACCGATGGGAGAAGTCAATTGATCCGGGATTGGGTCAAACTTCAGGATTTGCTGAACATGTCTTGGCCTGTACTATTGCGGAGACCCAGCAGAGCGGCAGTTGTGCATATCCTATTTAATAAAGAAGCTATGTCCCAATAGAGAAGCGGTGGCAGTGTCATGGGCAAGAAGAACAGGTCGGGCCCTCACAAGCCCGGAACATCTCCAGGCACGTCATGATAAAATCATGCATCAGTCCATAGCACGCCTTGAGGTATAATCTACCTAAGATCTAATTAATGAGGGAAATTCTGACTCTCCAACCACCAGCTACCAACATTCGAGCCGACTTTGGTCTTCCCGGCACCATCCGCAGGAGGCTACTTAGGTACTAATAGTTTCTCATTCCACCACGGTCAGGAAACACTTATGTTCAGTACAGCCATCATTTTTCAACTTTTTCCTCTGGACCCTGTGATCTCGATGTTCCAACTATTAGTGATATCACCACTTCTCCGGCACAAGACCTGGCTCCTCAAGATCGCATCACGGAACCGTTGTCTGTCATTTATCAGTCACGAGATTCTATATAAAAGCAGCTGCACCTGATATAAATTTAAGACCAAGACAAGTCATAGGAGAATGCGTTTTCTGCAAAATCGCGTTGTCCTCAATCTGACTATTATTGGTGAAGAGATCTATGCTATGGCGGCCGGAAACCTGCCACACACTGCAATCTGCACAGGCTCTATTTTGACCATACCGTCTCACTCAATGCAGACACTCAAAATTTGAGACCAAAAAAACTTGAACAATGCACACCAGAGAAATTCCCAGATTTCTGCTGGCCAATTCTACCGTTTTCTACACGGAGACTTCATCGAGGCCGAGATGTTTTGAGCAGTTGGCACTTGGCCAAGGGCCAGCAAGGGTCGAAATGACCGACTTTTCGATACTTCGAAGTGCCGATTGTTCATTCAAATCACTAAACGGAAAGATCATGGACATATTATATTACCAGACGAAAATCTGCATGTTGAAGTAGTAAGTCAGAATAGGACACCTAATGCTCTGAGATCGGCCGTAAGTCGAGGTGCTTGTGCCGTACAAGCCAATGCAGTTTATCCCTGAAGTCTTCGGCCGAAAATGTGCCTGTGATTGATCCTTGCGAGAATAATAAGCTCCAGGGGCACAAAAGGTTGTGGGAAAGAACTGTTCATGGTTGCTCACCCCTCCCACGTCAATCCGGGCCTGGGCAGATGCTGAGCAGTTACCAACAGTTGACTTACACGGGGCCTCCCATTGCTGACACAGGGGGTGGCTGGTGGAGGGTTAGGAGAGGAACATCAGCCACAGTGAGTGCGTGGACTGGTGGGTTGCTGTGGCTGATGATTCGGGTGGTGAGACTTGTCCGACTTCTGTGACAAGCCAAGTCCGGCCGCCCTCTTCAACCTTGGGCCTTTTAGTGGGGAAGCGCTTAGACGGCCTCGATGCACACGCAGAGCCAGCCAGACCAGACCGAGTTGGGTCTCTCTACAGAACCTCAATTGAGCAAGACGCCGACTCATTCAGGCAGGACGGTGACGGTAAGGTCTCCTTTTCGTCTCAATTATTGACTCCTCATCTCGTGCACCACGCACCTTGTCTCTCCCGCGCAAGGCCTCCGGTCCCGAAGGTCTCATAGGCTGGTGGTTTGGTTTCCCCCCAAAGTCTGAAACCACCTCTAACCGACCGCCCCCTGGGCGATTCCGCGACCAGTCTTGTCACAGGATGGCGTCGTCGAACCATCTCGCACTTCTCCTCCGCGCTGCTTCTCCCTTTGCTTTTTTTTAACCTCTGAACACTGCATTCCTTACTTTCTTGGCAGCGCCTCCATTCACTACTTTCAATTAATCACGTTGCTGTGCAATCGGTCTTTTCTTCTTGCTGCCCTTCTATCGACGACGACGACCACGACGAATATTTCGACTCAGCTGGTCTGTTCACGCTATCTCACTTACTTTCCGCGGCTCACCAGCAAGAACGGAAAAATGAAGGTTGCAGCGTTCCTTGTCGCGCTGTGCGCTTCTCTCGCCAGCGCTGCTGTCGTCAAGACGCCCGTGTTCGACAACCAAATCGTCCCAAACCAGGGCGATGACTGTGCTTTGGGTGTGACCACGCCTCAGGGCTGCGCGTAAGGATCTTCTCATTTGTCTTTGGCGACTCGGTTGGTCAGGGCGGCTCGGAGAAGGCATCCAAAGGGAACGGGTGCATGGGATGGCGCCATGCACTATGGCGTCCGGAAAGCAGGCCGATATTTGGGCGGCAGTCGTGCTAACGGTTTGTCGCGATAGGCCCCGTCGTGGAGGTGCACCTCGGAACACTGCATAGACGACAGATCTGATCACTTTGCGGCGTCCGGCCCAGCATGTTGAGCTGATGCGATGAGGATTTGGGACAACTGACGCCCCCCGGCTCCGAGATGGCTGAACCAAAGGGAGACATCCGGAACGACGGTCGACCCCATAATGAGTAATGTGCACAGGTGCTTGGACCCCTCGACCGCAGTCTCCGAAATCCTGCTTGATTCCCCGAGATATCAGAACAGTGTCGGCCTCATCGCGATGTGACCCCGATCGATTCGACAGGCTTTCATTTTCTGTGGACATAGCTTCAGAAGGTCTCCTCAGCCGTTGGGAGATACCGACCAGCGTTAGAAGGCGGCTACTCATACGATAAATAGAATGGGCGTTCAATTGACTGGGATTTCTGTGATTTAATGGTTGCCTTGCGGGTTGATCTCTTGTTTGGCACGACGACCCCAGTGATGAACACACCAAGATGACCACTGTGGCTTCGCGTACGCCGCAATGACCACTTCACGAATCCCTGCTACATGTCAACGCGACGCACTTCTGGAACAAGTGCTGCAACAGCACCCATCGCGTCACAAGGCCAGCTCGATAGCATTCGCTGCAACCGACCCCCACCTGGAAAGGGAAGGCCTAGGCTGTGTCACGTAGCCATCGACACGATCGCTCTATACCGTCACTCGAGCCAAGCAAACACACACTGTAAGACATGTCAGCTTCGAGAGCGAGTGATTGCCTTGATGTTACCCGGCAACGAGCAGTAAAAGACGTGCCTGTATGTAACATATTTGGCTCGCCACGGTGAGTGGATGACGCAACACACCATCAAGACCGTGGCTACACCTCCAGACATGCTTTCTCGTTTTATGCCCTCACGTTCACTTGGTCGCATCAGGGTCCTGCAATCTTGAAGCAGCCACTCACACCTCCAGCATGACGCCGCAGCGGCGGACGGATGACTACAGCCAGGCGGCTTATCAACGTCCAGGACTTTGGATTATGCGAGTTCCTTAACTTTGTTTGTTACTAAATTAGGTGGGCATCCGCAGGTGCAACCCCTTTGTATTATCGGCCGCAGTTACCAGGCTCAGGCCACACCCGACAGGCTCGTGGCTGAGCATCGGCGCACAGGGAGTCACTTATGGACTCTACGCACCCAATCGAAAAGGATCATATTTCGGGGCAAGCTCGAGGCCGAAACCAGACTATACATCCGTTAGTATAGGCCAGCGGTGAACACGAATGGACCGATCTAGCATTAGATAGAAGAGCCGATGGCTCATGGTTCGGCCGAGACCGGGTCCGACGAGGGATACCAGCCCGACGTCTTGCGGAAGTCGGCCCTTTCAACTAGACGTGCATACAAGGCAAGAAAGGAACGCATCGATCAATGCGAGGATTCCACGAGAGATGCGTTCTTTTCATCAAAGGCTCACTAATATATATTTGCTGCTTATTTGCATTTACGTGCTGAAAAGCACTTCTCACTAACCGCCACAACTCTATCTTGAGTTGTGAAGAATTGAACCTCAGCCTTGAGTCCTCAAAACCCTCACCGCGCTGCCACCCTCCGCCTCGCCCAGGGACACGGTCGGCAGCTCGCTCATGTGCACCTTGGCCCTGCCGTACGGCACCAGGTTGTAATCCCCGACCGTGCCCTCGATACACTCCCCGCCGGAGGGGACCACGTCAGGCGTCGAGTTCTGGAAAAGGCCCCACGCGACCTGGCACCCCCTCGCCGTGACGACGCCGCCGCCCTCGGAGCCGCCGAAGCCGACCGCGCCCCCGTCGGCCGGAGGGGTGTACCTGAGCGTCGCCGTGTCGATGGCGACGTTCCACGGCCGCGCGTTGCTGATGTAGTAGTCGCGCGGCTGCGGGAACGGGATCCAGTCCATGCCCGGGCCGCCGGGCACGCGGTAGTCGTGCGGCAGGGAGCTGTGCTCGACGGCGCCGAGGTCGAGCGAGTACAGGAGGTTGCCGACGTAGACGGACACCGCGGCGCCGCTGGCCCCGCGCGGCTCGGTGCGCACGCCCGCGCTCAGGGTGTAGGTCACGGAGGAGCGGCCCGCGGGCAGGTCGATGCGGTGGAGCCTGGAGGCTAGGTCGGGCGACAGGGTGGAGGAGGGCGCGGCGGTGCCGCTGGTGTCGGATTCGATGACGACCTCGGACGTCTGCGTGTCGGCCCATGTTGGCATGCGCAGGTACAGCGCGAACGGGCCCGAGGACTCGATGGTGTATGCTGACGAGTTGGTGAACGGGTAGCCCGTATCGACGCTGATCTTGACGCTGGTGCCGTCGGATGGGAGCGTTGTTGAGACTGAGGATGGAGACAGGAGCGCATGTGCGACACCACTTCCGTTCACAAGAGCCCAGCTGTTGGACAGGAATTTTGGCCAGCCCTGCGGGTGGTTGACGGTGCAGCATGGGTAGATGGGTTCCAGTCCAAACCGGGTTGCGACATTGGTGGAAGAAGTGGTGAATACGGGCGGTCCAATGGGGTTGTCAAGGTCATCGGTGTTGTTGGTCCAGGGTTGGTTGGGCTGAGCCATGTACTGGTGGCCCCAGCCATCGGGGTGCATCTGGAATGAGGAGCCGTCAATATTTGGAGCCTTGATTCTCAAGGGGGTTTGGGGATTTGGCACATGAAGAATGGGAATGCCGAGAATAGGCTTACCATGACGGGGAGCGCATTGAGGAAGACGAGCTCTGCCCGATCAGCATAGTTGGAGGACCCCAAGGCGTGGTAGAGATAAGCCAGCGAGTAGCCTGTCTCGACAGCCGTGCAGAGCTCACTCCCCGAGTACGGGGCGAGATCGCGCTGGACTTCGTCGGCCAGGATGCTCCCCGAGGGCGAGCCATGGTACGCAAAGGTCCAGTCGACGCCTCTGTAGGCCGTGTCCACAAGCGAGTCGTTCTTGTTGAAGCGCCGTACCACCGCGGCCTGCTTCAGCCCCTGGCCCACGTTGACCCCGTGGAGGTAGGGAAACATCGGATTGTCGGGAGTCGCGTCCGTCACGACCTTGAGGTACGTTCCCGGGGTGAAGTAAGCGTCCCACTTGAAGTTTGTCTGGTTGTAGAACAGCTCCATGTTCTGCCACAGAAGGTCGTCCTGGGTCTGGTCCGGGTGTTTCTCGAGGAGCCACTGGATCGTGATGATCATGTCGTGGACTCGAACCTGGCCCCATCTGCAATCGATGGCCGACGCGCAGTTGACGAATCCCTGGCTGTCGTTCCGCAGCATTGTGTTCGCCAAAGTCATGAAGCTGCGCAATGCCGTGACGACCTTGTCCTCGTAGCCGGACGCATCGGCCTCAGCCAGCCCGGTCAGACCCAGGAAGAAGGGCATGCGGGCCCAGAAGTTCCTGTCGCCTACCGACTCTGGGCCGATCCAGCCGTCTTCAGACTGCAGGCCGAGCACGGTATCCGCGACGGCGTGCACTTGACCTATGAGGCGCTCATCCTCAAGTGCATAGGCCAGCGGCACGAGGCCGTTGAACCAGTAGGGCAAGGCCTCGTTCAGGTTGCTGTACTCGGTTCCTTGGCCGTCAGGGCTGAGCCACGATGACTCGTTGACAAACACGTAGAAGTCATGCTCGTGGCCAGCCAGGCCGCTGGCGAGCGCCTTCAACTCTTCAAGAAGCCAACCATTGGGCTTGATGGAGCCCAACGGCAACGGTTCAAGGGCCCATGGCAGGAGCTCTGATGCACCGTAACTAATGTCAGTGACGGTCAAGTATAAGACTTGGCTGGGGAGGAGTACTTGCGTTGGGATGCAGCGGCCAAAGAGGGCAGGATGGCCAGAGGCAGTGCAATAAGCATGGCCAAGACCTGAAGAGCGGGGGCGAGGTTCTCGAGAGCTCTCATGATGTCTGGTATTGCTCTGCTCTTGTCTTTCTGTTCTTGCTACCTGCGATATCCTTTTCCAATCTTGCGCAGGCCGGTGAGAATTACTAGACATGGGGTCAGAACTCATTCGCACTGCTTTGCTCCCCTTTTGTAGATAGATGTTGTGGTCAACAGTAGTTAGGAAGGAAATCATTCCCACCCACTCACCACCTTGCCCCAAGGTCCCCAATTCACTGCTGCCCCTTGTGACGGCAGGAACCCCCGTGATGCAGGGCGAAGACGTCCCAATTTGATATTCCATTAACATGGGACGGACGAGCGCGTCTGAGACAAACACAGAGGTTATGTAATCCACACCTCTGTGTGGATTGTGTGTGGGCCGTGGCACAAGGCACAAATCTCGTCCAGCTGCAGAAAGAAGTCTGGTGTCACCGGCACACGCGCATGGGGGTGGGCAGAAAGAGGAAAGGCGTGTGGCACCCGGTACGCTTATCCGAGGCAGACTAGTCTCAAATTGCTGGTGAACCGGTCTGCGCGAGGTGCTTTTGGGCATGGGCTGCTGTTTGCCAAGTGGCTAACCTGCTGCCTGTAGGGTCTTGTCACATTAAAATCTCACCTACACGAGATGCCGGTACCAACAGGGTTGAAATTAGTTTAGTTTAGTTTAGTTAATGGGCTTAACTTAAAACTAAAAACTAAATTCTTTTTAATTTAGTTAATAAAGTTAATTAAAAACTAAAAATTAAAAAAAAATTAGTTTTTAATTTTAAGTTTTTTAATTAATTAAATTTAATTAAAAAAATTAATTAATTAATTAAATAAATAAAACTTTTTTAATAAAATTAAAATTATATTTATTATTTAATTAATAAATATTATAATAATAACTTTTAGTTTTATATTTAATTTATTTAATATAATTATTATTTAATTAATATAAATAACTTTTTTTAAATATATATATTAATTTTTTTTAAAAAAATTAATAACTTAAACCCTTATTATAACTTAATAATATAAAACGTTAATTTATTTTTAAAAAAATAAAACGTAATATTTTTAAAATAAATTATTATTAAGGGGTATAATATTTATTATTAGCTTATTATATTTTATATAATAAAAAAATAAACCTTTTTTTAAAGGATTTTAAGTTTTTTTTTATCTTTTTATTTATAAACTTTATATTTATTTTATTAAATTATATAAAATTTAATATTTCTTATAATATACTTTTCTTTTATATAATTAATTCTTTAAAATACTTATAGCTTTTTAAAAAATAAAGATTTTAATATATTTATGTTAAATTTATTAAATAATAATTACTTATTTAAAACATAACCACCCCCCTTTATGCCCCTTACCCTTAACATTATTACTTAAATATAACCTTTAATATTTCTTTATATAATAAGCTTAAAATTATATAAAAATACTTTTTAATATATTTTATTTTTAACTTAATAAATAAAATATTTTTTAAGATAATTTACTTTTTAAAAATATATATATATAAGAATATATTAGTTTTATCTTAAATATAAAAATTAAATAATACTTTATATAATTATTTAATAATAATAAAACTTTTCTTAATATAATAATATTATTTTTATTTATTAAAACTTATATATCCTTATAAATATTTTATTTTAAAATTAAATATAAAGCCTATTAAAGCTTATTTACCGTTATAAATACTTTATTTTAAAATTAAATATAAAGCTTATTAAGGCTTATTTACCCTTATAAATGCTTTATTTTAAAATTAAATATAAAGCTTATTAAAACTTATTTACTTTATATAATTATTTTAATATTCTTAAATAATAAATTATTAATCTTAATATTATATTAAGTTAATATAATTATTTATTATATATAAGTTATTATATTTAAAAAGAATATTAATATATAAAAATATAAAGAAATTAAGAAATACTTATTATTTTTAATAATATTATTTAATAATATAATTTTATTAAGATTTTAAGAATATTTATTTAAATAATTTATAACTTATAAATTTAAAGTAAAATCCTTTAAAATATTTTATATTATTAAATTAATAATATATATTATATATTAAATATTATTTTTAAAATCTTTATTTAAAGGTAAATTAAATTCCTCTTTAAATAAAATAAAAAAAGAATTATTATTTAATATATTATTAAATATTATATTAAGATAACTTTTAATAAACTTTTAAAATTCTTTAAAAAAAAATAAGGTTAATATAGTTTTCTTTTAACTTAAAATATTTAATTAATTTATATAATAAATAAAATTTTAAATTAATATAAGAAATTATTACTTATAAATAAGCTATATTAATTTTAAAAGTTTAATAATTAAAAATAAAAAAAATTTATTATAAAAAATAATGTTTTCTTTTAATTTTAAATTAAGCTTTATTAAATTTATTTTAAAAGTATTATTAAAAATAATTTTAATTTTTTAATAATTTATTATAAGGATAAATTTAAAATTTTATTAATTTTTATTTAAAAAAATAAAAAAAAAGAAAAATTACTTATAAATTAAAATAAGATAATAAGTTTTAAAAAAACTTTAAATTTAATATATTAAAAGATAAATTATTTTTAATAATAAAATTTAAAATCTTTTTAAAAGTATCATTATTTATAAAATCTTCTTTTAATTTTTTTATTAAAATAATAAAGAAATTAAAAGGAAAAGCCTTTAAATATAATATTAATATATATTTTAATATTTAAAATAAAAAAAATATTTACTTTTTAATTAAATCTTTTTACTTTTCTTATTATAAAAAATAATAAAGTATTTTATTTTATAATAATATTAATAATTTAAAGCTTAAAAAAGCTTTAAATTATTTTTATATTTATAGAAATATTTAAATAAATATTAATTTAATAAAAAAAACTTTAAATAATATCTTTTTTAAATTATTTTATATATTAATTATATAATTAAATGCTTTTAAAGAATATTATTAAATATATTTTTATTCTTAATATTTTTTAAAATAATAGCTTTTCATTATATTTACTTAATTATAATTTAATATAAATATAATTAAATATAAATAAAATTTATTTAAAAAACTTTTTTTATTTATTATAAGAAGGAATATAAAGACAAGGCAGCTATCCTTAATACATTAATTTAGATTAAGACGGCGCTACCTTTTATGTAAGGAAGAAGTTTTATAGAAATTACAAGGCAGGGGTTTTATGCCTAAGGTATATAAGGCTTAAAGCCTTAATAAATACCTGTAATTAATAAGGTCCTTTATTTATATACTTATTTATATTATTTATATTAAGTTATATACTTTTAAAATTAAATAAATAACTTATTAAATATAAAATATTATTATTTATTAACTTTTTTCCTCTTTAATAAAAGGAAATATACAAATAAAAAGATTATTTTAAAAAATATAAATATTTATTTTCTTAAAAAAAAGGAGTTTATAATTTAAAGAAATAAATTTATCTTTTATAATAAAAGTTATTTAAGAATTTATTTTAAAAAAGAAATATTATAAATTTTAATAAAAATTATTAAAGAATTAATAAGAAATAAAAAAGTAAAAGATAATATTTTATTTATTTATAATAAATAAATTAAGAATATATAAATAATTAAGTAAATAGTAAATAGGTAAAATAAGCTTTTTAAAAAGGGAGTAATAAAGAAAGAAGAAAAAAAGAAAGAAAGAAAGATTTATATTTAAAAAAAATAAAAAAAAAATTTATTTTTTTAAATTAATTAATTTAATTATTTAAATCAGCTAAATATTTACTTAAATAAATATATAATATTTTAATTTTTAAAATATTAATAAGCTTTTAAAATAATATAAATATTTATATAAATAAAAGTTAATTTAAAGAAAATCCTTTTATATTTTTATATAATTATTTAAATATATTTAATTTAAATTTAAATAAGATATATTTTTATTATAATAAAATCTTAGGTTTTAAAACTATTTAATTTAAATAATTAATTACCTTAAACTTTTTAAGCTAAAATAAACTTTATAGCTGCTTTTAAAGTTAAAGTATTTATAAGGGTAAATATGTTTTAATAAACTTTATAATTACTTTTAAAGTTAAAATATTTATAAAAATATATAAGTTTTAATAAATATATTTAAATAAGTTTATTTATTATTTTTAAATAAATTTATATATATATAAAGATAAATTATTTTTATTTAAAAAAATTAATATTATTATATAATTTAATTAAAAAATATTTAAAGTTTTCATTTAAAGTAAAACTTAATTATATTTAAATATTTTTTTTAAAAGTAAATATATTTTTTAAGTTTTTTATATATAAAGGTTAAAACATTAGCTTTTAAGAGGTATTTTACTTATATTTATAACGTTATAAACTATTAAAATATTAAACGTTATATATAAGTAATTACGCTAAGAATAAGGGGAAAAAAAAGGGATAAGGTATATATATTATATATTATATTTATATATTATACATACTTATAAAAAAGCTAAATTATATATATTTTTTAATTTTATAACATATATAATATAATTATATATAATATTAATAAAATTTATAATAATTACTTATAATAATTATAATAATATTTATTAATTTTATAATATATAAATATAATATAAATTCCTTGCTTATAATTATATATTATATAATATATTAATAGCTAAGGGTTTAAATTACCTTAAAATAAATTTTATTTTATTTTTAATTCTTTTAATTCTTTTAATTCTTTTAATTCTTTTAATTCTTTTAATTCTTTTAATTCTTTTAATTCTTTTAATTCTTTTAATTCTTTTAATTCTTTTAATTCTTTTAATTCTTTTAATTCTTTTAATTCTTTTAATTCTTTTAATTCTTTTAATTCTTTTAATTCTTTTAATTCTTTTAATTTTTAATTAAACTTAATTTAATTTTTAGTTTTAATTTTAAGTTAACACTTTTTTAAAAACTTAATATAGTTTTAAGTTTTTAATTAAGCTTATTAACTAAAATTAAAAAACTATAAATTAAATTAAGTTTTTAAAAAAGTGTTAACTTAAAACTAAAACTAAAAACTACATTTAGTTTAACTAAAACTCAAGACTAAATTTACAACCCTGGGTATCGACAGCCATGCCGGCGAATGACAATGTTTGCGCTCGTAAAACATGACCTATCCTGGCAAGCGGATCCTGCGGGCTCCTTCGAAGCGAGGCGCCACCACGCCATCTCGCTATTTCGCCGTCTGGCTCATTGCTGATGGCTGATGGCTCACGCAGATATAGATAGTCTCCCGTAGCCGCCCGCCTTTTCTGCTGCCTGCATGTCCTTCTGATCTTCTGCTTCCCCTTTGCTTGGCTGTCTCTGTACCACTGGGCCCAAGGCACGCTTCAGAGCACAACGGTCAGAAGATGAGCTAACACCTGGTCCGCCGTTGTCGTCGTCGAGGTCATTCGACCCACACCCGCTCCCGCGCTCCAAGGCGCCAAATTTTCCATCCGATATTTAGTCTACTTGGCCTGTGTGCGCATGCCCGCAAGCCGGACCCGAATGATGAGTGTCGGACACAAGAGATTGGCTTCTGCCGGGGATCGAGGTGCTGCATTTTTCAATATCGCACGGCGTCCACAGACCCTCGTGATCCTCCTTGTCTCATTCATACTCATCCTTGTCACTTTCGGAACCGTCTACCTGACCGACATTGAGATCCTCTCGCCATCCACGTGGACTCTGAGTCCAAGCTACCAGTCGAACCCCACAAAACCTCAGCCACCACTGCAGTTCGAGGACGGCTACGGAAAGGTTTACGATGAGGTGTTGGAGTTGGACACAGACAATTCTGCAAAGGTCATCGGCTTGGTCTTCTTCGGCCGCCGCGAGCTCGTCGAGGTGCTCGACTGTTATCTCCAGCGAAACCTGAAGGCCAACGGTGGCCTGCTGGACGAGATTATCTTCGTCGTGCACACCGACATCCAAGAGGACTTAGATTACCTTGAGACACTGGTGCCAAGGCGGCCAGAGTATTCAAAGTATGAAGTCAAGGGCACCTACAGGTGGCTCGCGGGCAGCTGGGAGCCAGTGACCGATCCCGACGCAATATATGTCAAGATAGACGACGACGTCATATACTTCAGCGATAATGCCATCTCGAGTGTCGTCAAGAGGATCACGGACAACCCTCACTTCTTTGCCGTGTCTGCCAATGTGGTGAACAACCCGGCCTTGAGCTGGGTGCATTCTCATATGGGCGTTGACTATCCTTACTGGCCGGTAGGTTCCGTTCACTAATATCCCTGTCTTTGACTGTCCCTGAAGTCCCGCCCAGGATGAGGCATAGGAGCTGATCAAACAAACCAGGAAATGAAAAAGCCTTGGAGAAGCCCACCCGCCTCCTCCTGGCGGGCCTCAGAGCTGCCTCCCTACTCTGGGCCGAAGTCAGGCCCCAAGGGCTTCGCCATCGACGGGTCTACCCCGGCACCCTTCAAGGACCACCGCTGGCTGCCCGTCCCGCTTCCCGCGGGCGAGTCCACCTACGACTTCTCCGACTACCCAGTCTCCACGGCGACCTACGACGCCCACGGCCCCTCGCTGAACAACTGGGCGCTGGCGGCGCAGGTCCACTACTCGTTCCTGCAGCACCTCGAGCAGAACGACACCCGCCGCTACAAGTTTGACATGTGGGACTACGCCTACGACCGCCTGTCCATCAACTTCATTGCTATTCGCGGCCGCGACGTCATGGACTGCTTCCCCTTCCCCCAGCACGACGACGAGGACTACCTCACCGTCAAGCGGCCCAAGGAGCTGGGTCGGAGGGTGGTCATGGACGGCACGGGCATCGCCGTCCACTTCGCCTTTGGCCCGCAGTACAAGGCGCATGACCACCATGGGCTGGCGGACACGGATCTCTTGATGCGGTACAAGGCGTATGCGGAGGAGATGGTGTGTGGCAAGCCCAGAGAGGGTGTCTTGACTGCACCGGGTGGGCTGGGGGGTGTATAACTGACTGCTTGGTATGTTCAAAGCCAGGCTGATATTTGATCATGCTGCGGCGCTGTATACAAGAAGAAACCCGATAAACATTGCATAATACCACAACTAGAACTTCATAGCGAATCATGATAAGATAATGAAAACAATGGCATCAAGTATCTTGATAAAGTGTTTGAAAGCAATGAAAGTTCGAGCCTAGTGAGTATTGTAGTTGTTACAGAAAAGTATAATTGAACTTGTGACATTAGTACCTCGTTGCACACAAGGACTCGGAGACTGAGGTGTGAGAGAGATTATAGAACTATTCATACGAGACTGCCTAAGCACGGGAATCTGGCCCCTGGCAAACTAATGAGACTAGTATGGCAAGTCTAGGGGGAGGGGTATATTGTGATAACCCAACCTTTAGCGGATAACAAGAGGGCATAGGAGATGCGGAGCTAGTGATCGTTCGGAGGTGATATATTCTACACAACACCTACGTATGAGTGGTCTGAAAGAGGACGAGAACGTGGCCACGACATTACTTGGGAGACTCACAGTATTCCTTGCTCAGGAAAACGCGCTGTCGCTTTTGTCATTAGGATAAATTGATGGACTGCATAGTGGCATGTGGGAAATTCTGGCGCGCATAGACTGGTTGGCAGATTTGGGGGCTACATACATTGGGCATGGGTAAAGTAGGCCGCGGTCATTGCTCCACAACTTCCGTGCACTTGGTTCCCTGCTTTCAAGGGACGATTTCCCAGTAGGAATATATGCTGCATCAAGATGACCTGGAACTATCCGCATGCAACGATCTGAAAGGTGTCTGTATTTGAGCATACACGGTAGAGAGTAAAGATTAGGTCGAAAATGGGATACCAAGCAGACGACGACTCTCAGGTTCGACTTATCGCATGGCGAGACTTGGTGTTCATGGTAGAAGCTGGTCTGTTGGCCAATGTGCCAAATTATACGAATACTCAAGAAGACGGATATTCGCATCCACCAAAACGGATGGTATATCCATAATGTACCTGCTAACTAAGCATTATCACGTAACTACAACCTTACCACACCACCCCATAGTGCCCTTTACAGCTATAACCACCAGTGCCCCTGCGTAGCCTTCATCGTTACCAAACTCAACACAACCACCCTACATTAACGCCACGTTAAATACAGCGCATTAACTTAGCATTTAAGTGGAATGACTTAACCTTTAAGTCACTGGATGAAGAGGACACTCTTAGCAGCAATGCTTAGCAGAATGCCGTCCATTGAGACCAGCAGTTGGCGGGAAGGCTCACGAAGCAGTCAACTCAATGGCCCCCGAAGCGAAAAGCACCCTTGGGCATCACGAGATCCTTTGGCCCGACTTCATCGACATCTACAGCCTTAACCATAAGGGCAATAGCTAAAAAGCAGCGTATAGGGGCTACGGAAAGCATTAACCAGTTGCCACGGGTATATCTAGCTATTAAGAATATCGTTAGTGATGACGACGGCATGGAGGGTATTCAAGACGAGATCACGGTCTGTATAGATTAAATAGGCACGAGAACACCATATAATTAAGCAATTGGCGCCCTAGAAAGTATAAAAAAAGCTGCACTCGTAACGAGAAATGGCGATGAGTATGCTTTTTAATATGTCACAGCGTTGCCAAGGGCAACTTAATGTTGCCCTATACTAATTTAGTAGTGGGGAATTGACCGTGCACTGGCTGCAGCATGTATGGATGTACCATCTGTTTTTGTGGATGCGAATATCCGTCTTCATACTCAAAGTCGCTGTACGGCATCGCTGTTGGGCGTGAAGGTTTTGGATGCAGACCTGAGGAGGCGCTCTTGATTAGCCCAGTAGTAAATGTGGGGTCATTGCTGCAATTGCTGTGATCGATTCTACTACAGTATGGGAGGAGTCGCAGAAATAATCAAAACAGGTATTGGCTAAACATGAGTATATCCCAAAACCTGCATTGAGGTTACAAAGGGCGAGCTTGACGGGCTATGCAGGAGGCACATGCCTGCCAAGGTGTCAACTTATCCGCTAAGGCCTAGCCTGCAGCAGCAAGCTGCAGACCGGGATCTAGCAGGAACGATTCTCGGCCAAGCATTCCCTGGTGGAGTGACGTATGGGCCATTACGACCCCCGGGAGGCTGATTCACAGGCAGCGATTCGCCTACAGGTTGCCTTGAGAGGGGCGACCAGGCTCCGTCACTCGACTGCGCCTCCAACGCCGACTTGTAGACTCGCAAACTACAAATACAACCCCAGGATACTGTCCCTGCCCATCCCGCCATTGTGCCAAGATTGGTTTTAAATCAAGGCTGCACAGAGAGACCACCAAACTTCAAACCCAATCTCGAGACGCAGATCCAGTTCCAGATCTAGACCAGCACACCACTTACACCAACCGACGAGCCCATCGCAAACATGGCCAGCGCCGTCAGCATCGTCCTTCTCATCCTCATCACCCTCTTCTGTGAGCAACCCCCCTCGTGCAGCCCTGACAAGACCTCAAAGGAAGCTCTGCTAATCCAAACTCCAGTCCCTCCCGTGGGCGTCGTCATCGTCGCCGGCTGCGGTGCCGATGTCCTGATCAACATCTGCCTTACGCTGCTCGGGTATGTCCATCCCATCACACATCCCCTTCCTTCCCAACCAAACGAATCCCACAAGCACCACAGCTAACACCGAACCCAACAAACAGATACATCCCAGGCCACATCCACGCGTTCTATATCCTCTACGTCTACTACAGCCGCGCCGACCGCCCGACCGGGGAGCGCGCGCCCGGAATCTACTCAGAGCGCGTGCAGAACGGCGGCCACGGCCACGGCCACCCGGCGGGCGGCTATGGCACCATCAACAACCCGCCCCCACCCCATGCCGCCTAGAAGGTCTCGGCCAGCATTCTGCCCCGGCTGCCTGCGGGGGGGGGGGGGGGGATCTATACGCGGCCGCCGGGCCTGGCGCGGACTCCAGCGACGCATTGCAGCAGGAAGCCGATGGCGGCACTGTGATGTGTGCGTATACCCGCCGCGCCCGGGCGTTGTAGCAGAATGGTGTTGTCACGCTTGCAGGAGGCGGCAGCAGGGCGGAGGGGCTGTTGGGGCTGTTGGGGCTGGGCAGGATGGGCAGGATGGGCAGGTTTTGTGAGAGGGAATGGTTGTTGGGCAGGTGGCTTGCGGGAGGGTCGTGTTTCTGCTGTATGTGTATAAATGGGTGATGAACTTTTAATGAATGATACCTTGAGATGAAAACTCGCCCTGATCAGATTTCTTTCCGCTTCTGATGCGAGGAGCCATGCCCCAGGTTGTCAGGCCTACTAGAACATCGTCTAGTAATTACAGGTTCAGTAGTTGCAGATAATAGTAATGCGTCATGTACATGAGGGAATGTGTCGTCGTGCCAACAGGCCCGTTGCGAAGTACCATCACTTTGACCGGGAGAAGACGAGCCAGGCTCACAGAGCGCCGTTGAATAAGCGCGGATATCACTTAGTTCTATGCCCATCTACTAGTAGAACCCGTTTTTCAAGTATGCAAAAGGTATTAATCTCGAACGTGCGCGCGCTCGTATTCTCATGAGACATTTGCAAAATGCTACCCCAAAAACGACCAAGCACAAGGTATTACCGATCAAAGGAACGCTTGAGATCTAGAAAAGGAACATCAACGCGGCAACACCCGCCACGAACCCAACAATAGACGTCGAGGCCGCCGGCCTGTTCAGCTCGCCGGCGGACTTGGACGCGTTCGAGGTGGTGCCGCTGCACTCGCCGGTGAACTTGGAGGCGCCGTCGCTGCCGGTGGCGATAGCCTGCTCGTTGGTGCCGCACTCGACGTACTGCGCCATGGAGATCTTCATGTTGGTCTGGTCGAAGACGACGTACGCGGAGCGCAGGAAGGTGTCGCCGAGGAGGGCGGTGATGCCCGAGTTGGACTCGACCGCCTGCACGCCGAGGATGCACGAGTTGGCGCCCGCGCTCAGGATGAACTGGCTGAAGGGCACGCTGATGGTGACGCCGTCGAACTCGAAGTCCAAGGACCCGTCCTGGTTCTGCAGGCTGCAGTCCACCTCCAGCAGGCCCGACGAGTCCTGCTGCGCGTTGAAGTCCTCCGCCATGCTGCTGACGACCGAGGTCGGCAGCAGGGACAGGCTGGAGCCCGTGTCCAGGACGACGCTCAGGTCGCTGCCCGAGTACTTGTTTGACGTGCTCCCGCTCTTGAAGGTCAGGCTGTTCATCTGGGTCGAGTACCGCTGGATGTCGCCGCTGGCCGGGCTCTGGATGGTGCTCGTGGCGAGGGAGCCCGAGAACTTCTTAGTGTCGACGCCGCCGAAGATGATGTTCCCGCCCGCGGTGTCGCTCGTGCCCAGCGCGACGGAGAAGGCCCTTGTGTTTGTCACGCCCTGCGCGGCCAGCTGGTCCACAAAGTTGGAGTAGTTCAGGTTGACACCCTTGCCGAAGCCCAGACCCAGGATGCCCTCGTTCAGGTCCTGCGACGCAGTCGCCACACCGAACTGCACATCCGTCATGTTCGTGCCTGCGCCCGGTATCCCGATGCTGTCGACGACATATTGTATGTTGACGGCGCCCGAGCCGTACACGATCTGCGAGGTCTCCTGCGTCACGTTGGACGTTGACGAGGTGCTGGGGTTGTATTTGCCGTCCTCGGTGCAGTCTTGTTGCTGTGATTGGGTGAAGTCGCGGTCGTTGCAGTTGGGGTTCACGAACAGCTCATCGGACCCCGTGTCGATTGCGATCTTGACTGCCTGGGCGTTGGAGCCAAAGGTGAGCTCCATCAGGTAGCTGGTATCCTGCTCATTGATCAGGGATGCCGTGGCGTCACGGGCTGCGAGTGTCTTTGATCCTCGTTTTATGGGAAAGGAGACGAAGCCGGGATTTGTGGTGGAGGTGACGTCGCGAGTTGGGATGTGAGTTGTGGCGGCGACCGCCGGTAGGGCCAAAGCCAGGAGCGCAGGTAATCGAGACGCCATTGCCGTTGTTATTTCAGGCTGTTTCTCTTAAGACTAAACCCGGCAAGCAAGACAAGTGCCACGATCGAGGTGAAACGTTGCGAGAGGAACCGTTAAGTTAAAAGAGAGAGAAGAGTGAACCGGTAGAAATGGTGTCGGAATTCGTGACTGGTAACCAGATCAAGACGGCAAGCGGTTGTAATGTGTCCGTTTCTCGAAAACCTGAGTACCACAAGCAAAGCCACACACAGCAGGCAGTAGAGGTACACAGCAGGCAATGAAGGAGGGGATTGTCTGACTGTGTGTAGGCTGTGTGGGCGGGGCGAGCGAGTGGTTTTGTCTGTCTGAGGCTGAGCAAGGCGCGAGGGACCTGGAAGAGTTCAGACGTAGCAGGTCTGGACTCGGAGACTGGGGTGGCGCCGATGATGCGTTGCCTGCAGCAGGAAGGCAGGCAGGCGTGTGCAGGGAACTGGGCACGGACACAGTGACACCATCCCTCGCCTTCCCAGCTTGTCCGGCACCAGCGGCGAATGAGACGGTCTGTCTTCACGATGCTAGTGGAGTGGCGGGTGGAGAGGCAACCCAGGGCCATGTCAAGGCCAATCCACTCCCGCTAGCCGCGTGTCCCAGGCATCCGGTACCCGAAGCCTTGCTCGTCATGCAAACATGCAAAAACCAGCTGAATCCAAACTACTGCTGTTCTGGATTTGGAATGGCCTTGGCCTCGATTGCTGCCAGTTTGCTAACTACAATTCCTCGGTATCCGTACGTTCTTCTCGTTGAAACGCCCAGCGATATCGTCCCAGCATCAGCAGGATCTTCATCCTCATAGATGGCATCCCATCTTCGCTGCAAGATCTCCTCAGAATGCGGCCATGGCAGCCTGGGCAGTGCAGCCCGCCAAAGCTTCGCCCCGTTCAAGCTTCATTAAGCAATGCCAAGCTTTCTCGGCTCGGCCTGGGAGGGGAATTTCCCGGGCTTCGTCCTCCTTTCGACTAGCGGCATCAAATTTGCACTTTTTGGCTGACGCAGTATTTTCCCTCATCTCGCCACGCGGACTCCGACTGCATTGAGCAACAGAAACAGGACTACCGTTACCGTGAGCACGATACTTGCGCACTTGGAGACGTCCGAGGAACTCGTTGCGACCGGCACTTACGCGTCGGTCTGGCTGGATAAGCGGGCAGTGGTACCCTCCTTCCTACCGACAGAGTTTCAGGACGCAGCGTCGCACAGCCACCCTTGCCCACCTGGAGGGCCGGCTGATCGGCGCTGAAGGCGCGAGCCTTCTCCAGCGGCAGCTAAACTCCAGCAGCCGGCAGTGCTGATCTTCACGCCTTCCCTACGGCTGTCACGCTATTCATGTCTTGCAATTATCCTTCGATGTGTCGTTTGCCGCCCGCGGTGTGTCTCACAGCGGCCAATCGCACGGAAGGGAGCGGGTGAGGTCAGTCTCATGAGGCGCGGCGTGGGTGGCACATGGCAGACGATCGATTCCATGGGGCTAGTCTCACCAGCAAATACGCGGAAAAAACTGTCAGCGCCGTCAAGGCTCATACCTCAGCAGCCGCTCCGGGAATCGGCATCTTTTTTGGACCAGTTACAAATCGAGCATTTACCTAATTCGGACCTGACACCAGACACAACGCTCAATGGCAAATGCATTACCTTGTCACCGCAACGTTGATTGCACTCTGGAGTGCCACGGACCTGCGACAACGATCAACTCCGCTCGCAGAGTCGAAACTTGAACATCGTACATGATCGTCACACAGTGGACCAGTATCCTAGCAAACCGAACACTGCCTTTGATCTCTGTCGACGACGCTCTGCGACTCCTGAATGGGCGTTACAGCTGCCTCATCAGTCTCAGCTGCCTCGGAGTTACCGCTGATGTAACCATTATGAATGAATAGGACCACGATGATGCCGATTGGTTGGCTGTATTCAGCATTGCTGGATATATTCAGCCACTGACATATACCAAAAGAAGACCTGTCTGAATGCAACCCCCCCAAGAGCGCCGTGGAGTGACTGACAGCGACTGAGTCGCACAAACCTGCGGACGCCGTAAGCACTTTACCGTTCCCAACTCCAGACAATGCGAGTGTAACCATACATTAACGTCCAATTTGAGCATCGCATCATGTTGTCACTAGCACACCCTCCATCAAGCCTTCTAAGCTGGGTATGATGGCGCGCCACCGTTCTCCTCGACTGCGTCTTCCTTGGCCTGGCCTGTCTTGGAGTATAACTTGAACTGCACAAAGATGATCGCGTCCTCGGCGATCGTGCCCAGCGAGCCCAGCAGCCAGGGCAGAGCCTTGAGAATGTAGGCGCCGTCCTGGGAATATGCGACGAGGCTGGCGCCGTAGGTGAGGTTTCCGGTGAGGGAAAGAAGGAAGAAGAGCAGCGCAAGGCCTGTGACACGCAAGTCAGCTCGTGGAACAACATCACGGGTCTCCTGTCGCTCGCTACATACCCTCGGTGGACTTTTCCCGCCAGTTCTTGATAATCTGCGGGATGCGCGCGCACAGATAACACAGTGCGCTGATATACCCCAGGGCCATACCCACCACCACGACCGGGTCTTTGCCCGCGCCCGCCGGTTCAGATCCGGCAGGGTCCTGCGCGCCGCCACCGTCTGACGAAAGCACCTCCCGGCTCACGAACCAGGCCGCGACGCCGAGCGCGTACACCGCAAAGAGACTCAGTGTGTTAGTCAACCACGGGCTCCGCAGCGGGGTCTCGTCCTCCCCCGTCACGATCCTCGTCAGCGGGTCCAGGCTTGACGAGCCCCGCCGCACAGAGTGGCGCCGGTGGCTTCCCGGCAGCCCCCCGGCACCGGAGCTCGACCGCCTGCGGGAGAGGAGGGGCTCCTCCTCGGTGGCCTGTGCCTGCAACGAGGCGAGGCGCTCACGGTTCCTCCGTCGGGCGTTGACAGCGTTGTAGTATAGGGACTGGGAGATGAGAATCACGTCGGCTACACAGAAGTAGATTCCTATCGCGACGGCGGAGGGGGCGAGGTTCGTAACGAGGGCGCCTGTTACACAGAGACAGTCGGTCAGCTTGGCGGTGATCCGGGCACGTGCGCCTGCGCCTGGCAGGACAGGTGGCGCGATAAGAGATTTTGACGACCGGCACTGGCCGTGAAAGCCATGATGGGCCGGGGCATACATACCAGCAAGGTTTGTGATGTCGCCGAGGAGCCAGATGAAGAGGAAGCCCATTGAGAGCCCATCTGCGCTCTGGGCCTTGTAATTGGTGACAAGCTGAGGAAGCTTTGCGGCATGTTAGAATCTGTAGAGGCCATTGGCATTGGCAAGAGGAGGCTCACGAGCAAACATATCCAGGCGACTAAGCTGATGCAGCCAAATATGCCGGATAAGGATTCACCGACTTCCGAGGAAGTGGTCACGGCCGAGGCCATCTCGACGATGATTGCGGCCATGACAGTGGATTGAGCGTAGGATTCTTAGGGCTGTTCTGCTGTGCCAGACGAATTGAGCGGCATGCAAAAAATAGGGATTGGAACAGAGATGGGTCAGGCATGAGTGTTGAGAGAGGAGTTGAAGGATTTGCTCTCCAAAGAGTCAGGTGGTGATGGATCTGGATCAGGGTCAAGGTCAAGTGGCTTGGATGGTCCCGCGACTCGAATGACTGAAAGGCCTTATCGCATCCAAAGTTACCAAGTTGGCGCAAAAGATAAGCCCATGCCGGGATTGGTTACTGGGGTCTACCGCTAGATTGACTTTAGGGCGGTCCAAAAGCCTGCAGCTGTTCCGCGATGGACGACTGCACGGATCGCCCAGCTGCTACGGCTCACAGGGTGTGGTGCAGCGGCAGATGGACCTGTGACCTAGGGCTTTGAAAAGGGCATCTGCTCATTGGGCGCCTGGCGGCCTTGGGGGGTTGGGCGAGGGTTCTCAGCGGAGATGGCGGCTAAGACCGGGGCAATTACCTCAGAGACGCGACCCTGACGTAAGGTGCTGGGTCGCCGTCCCCCGAACCCGGCGCCATCCAACGCTCGGAGCATTTACAATGATCTGAGCAGGCAACTTCACATCATAACAGCGCTGAAACAGCGTCGGGATCGTTTGTTTCTCGGATCACCATTTTCGAGTCAGCGGAAACGAGCAATATGTCTTACTAGACCCTAGGTGAGCATCACGGTAGGTTGTCTTGCTTTCCGCGTGGGGGCCATGAGTCGCAGTCTATTCGCTGTCGTTGGCCGTCGGTAACGCGCCTGTCCAGGTTGCCGGATCAACTGACACCTCCCGGCGTGGACGATCGGCACCTATCCCAACGCGTACCCCTATCAACCAGCTGAGGGCAACCATCTCTGCTGCTTCAATTAATTCTCTTCCATCTTTGCTGTTCGGTTGTCTCTTTCAAATTGTTAGCACTCACTGCGCAGAAATGAAGCTGTCAGGTGTTGCCGCGTTAGGCCTTGTAGCTGTCCCGGAAGTGCTGGCATGGGGAGGTGAGCAGCAGTCCAGCGCTGTGCCCTGACAGTCAGCCAGCCAGATGCACTTCGCACGTACTAACGCCCCCAGGCTTCGGGCATATCACGATCGCATATGTTGCTAGCAACTTTGTCCAGCCGCAGACGACAACCTACTTCCAAACCCTCCTCCGGAACGACACCACCGACTACCTCGCCAACGTGGCTACGTGGGCCGACTCGATCCGGTATACGAAATGGGGCCACTACACAGGCGTGTTCCACTTCATCGACGCCAAAGACGAGCCTCCATATAACTGCTCCGTCGAGCTCGACCGCGACTGCAAGGACGAGGGCTGCGTCGTGACGGCGATCCAAAACTACACCTCGCAGATCCTCGACCCCTCCGTCCCAACCTGGCTTCGCGCGCAGGCCGCCAAGTTCGTCGTGCACTTTGTCGGAGACATCCACCAACCCCTGCACGACGAAGACGTATCCAGGGGCGGAAACGGGATCCACGTGCTGTGGGAGGGGCGCGAGCTGAATCTCCACCACGTCTGGGATAGTTCTATCGCGGAGAAGTGGGTGGGCGGCATCAGGAGGAAGCCGTATCATGAGGCGCAGGAGTGGGCGGATGAGCTCACTAGCAAGATCAGGAACGGCGAGTTGAAGGAGCAGAGCAAGACGTGGCTGGACGGCGTGGACTTTGCTGAGCCCATCAAGACCGCCCTGGGTTGGGCGAGGGAGGGAAATGCATATGTCTGTTCGCACGGTAAGCATCTGTTGTTTCCTCTTGTTCTTCTCTATTTTGTGGCTGGATCTCGGGCCGTGACTTGTCTGGTGATCCAGCACGGGCCCTCCATTTATCTGCCCCCAGGCTTCGTTTCGTGGCGTTCTGTCGACCCTTCAAGCAATTTGCTAACGCTTGTCTAGTACTTCCCGAGGGGCCGGCGGCCATCGTGGGACAGGAACTAGGCGGGGAGTATTATGAGAAGGCTGCGCCGGTGATTGAGTTGCAGGTCGCCCGTGCGGGTTTTCGTCTTGCGGCGTGGCTCGACTTGATAGTCGCGGCGCTCAGGGTCGAGGCCGAATTATGATCTGGACATATGTGGACAAGCCCTGGAGGCATTTCCAGGCTCATGCGTAGTCGATGCTGTAGCAAAACCCCGTACTTGAGAACCATGGCTATGCACTACTCGTGATGAACCAAGAGCACAACCCCAGTGCTCGTGTCTGGACTCATCTGTGTCAAGTGGGTTATGTGTGATATCTGACGATGCAAAACGGCTCGCATTCCTTCAGTCTGGTTGCAGATACGCAGCAAGAACAACTTGGCACCCCGATTCGTAGCTGTCACATCATCTTGTTCAAACAAACTGTCGTGTCGTGTCGTGTCGTGTCGTGTCGTCTCTTGTCAAGTCCTGCCATCCTGGCATTGGAGCTAGCATAGGGCCCAGGCCCAGTACCGCGACTCGTGAGATTATTCAGGCAGGGGTTGGCAGCTGGTGATGGTGGCTTGTGAACAGACAAGCAAAACTGACAAATTGCGCCAAAGTCAGTTCCGTGAGGGAGACCGCGCGCACCCACAGACCTTCGACGACGTCGGTTGATGATTGTCAAAGCAAGAGCTGCCGAGTCGACTCGGGTTGAGGAGTAGAAGCTGTCTAGGCATGTGGCATATGCAAAGCAGTGCGCGTTCCTGCATACCCGGGTGGGCAGAAAGTTACCTGACTGAAGCTTAACTCCGGGGACTTGACGTCGAGTCGACGTCCAAAGCCTATCGGCGAAGCTTGGCGGGCCGTGTCGACGCAGGTCCGGCCTCGATCTGTGGGTTGGGCGGGCTTGCGACCGAGGGAGGGCCTGGGAACCAACCCGCTCCCCGGAATGAGGTCATGGTAATACCTGGGCTGGGCTATAGCCCATCTGGGTGCATTTTACCTGGTAGCAGAGGCCAGGCCAGGGATGCCCGGGCTATACCCGAACTCGGTTTCGCCGAGTGGCCGACCAATCCTACTCTGCGTCCTCGCAGCAGGGGCAGTCAAACAGCCAAGGTGTTTTGGGTCTCGAGAAGGGCGACTCTTCGCGACTCGACGCCTTGGGCGCCCTCCTCTAGAGAAGGTTCCTCGTCTCGTCTGGCTCGTCTACAGGGCTCGTCCGACATCGAGCTCATCAGCGCAGTCTCGACTATTGCCACAGAAACAGTTGGCGAGATGCGCGTGTTGGGTTTTACCACGGAATGAAGATGTTTTTTTGACATTGCGATCATCGGCTCCACCTGGTTGAGACTCGACCGTCGAAGAACGGCGGAGAGGGTGGGTTGTTCGCTTGTTTTGTTCCCGGCATGTGGAGTGGCTTGTCCCGCTGCCTAAAGCGAGGCCAAGGCGAAGGTGCTTAACCGATCAAACTGTTGAAGCTGGAGATTTGGTGCCGAGATGCAACGAGGTCGGCCGAACGCTGGGTGGACGAGACAAAGACAAGATGACAGATTGTCCGATGGTATTGGCGCTGCCGCTGGAGGGTAAAATTCGGGATCTGGCCGACACACCCACACACCCACACACACTCACACACTTGCACACAAACGCCGGTATAACCATGCACGAGAGGGACTTGGGATGTTCTTGGTGGATGATTAGTGAGCAGGCACGCGCCGTGGTCGTGGTTTGACGCTATCGTCGACTCCTCTCCATTGCAAACCGTATTCAGCCACCACCCCGTAATTTACGGTCCCGACACAAACATGATCTCCTCTGTCAGGCGCTGCACCCTTGGGGGAATCATCTCTGGACTAAACGGCGACGCTTCTATAGCGCTGGTGCCAGAGAGTCAGTAAACTTCGATCGTCGCAGGGGCGGCGAGGTAGCGACAAAGTACCCAGTGGGCCAACTTGCTCGCGATGGTAGGGACACACCATGTCCCACGGGATGCTTACCACAGTAATACTACCTTCTGGCGGTGGTTGGATACGAAGCCACAATCCCAAAAACAATGGTGGTACACGTAGCGCCGCACACAAGCGCTGTGGAGGGGTGGTACCTGTTGTACTCTGAGCTGTAGTCGCCGGGCAGGCTGGCGGGCATTTACTGCGTCGACAGTCGGACAGTCAGACAGACCGAGGGACAGAGATAGCGACAGAGAGGAGGGGTGGGCCCCGTACCGGCCAGGCGCAGAACGAGGTTCGGCGCGGCGGCATCTCCCCCTTCTGTGCCCCCTGCGGCTCACGGCTGCGGTGCCAAGCCGAGGTGCGAACTGCGCAGGCAAGAGCGCAGGCAGAGCGCTTGGTCGGCGGGAACATCTGAGGCGTGGTTTCGCCTCATCGGCCCCTGGGATGAAAGACATCCGAAACCCAGCGCGCCTGATCGCCGGCCGTGGGCCAATCACCACCGCCCGTGGCGCCCTGGCCCCGCTGCCACAGCCCGCTAGCCAGGGGCCCAGTTAATAACCTCTGACAATTTGAGCCGCATCAACGTCGAGGGCACCTCCTCGACGAACTCCACCCCAACCTGCGCCGTCGTCCGTAGTCTCTTCGTCCTGAACCAGCCTCCGCGAGTTCAGACACGCTGCCTTGCATCCAGTCCCCAAATTATCAGACACGTCCAGGCTGGGCTTAACGCCTCGCTGCAGCCTATCAGGCTGCGCCGTCGAGATCGTCCGGACTGGCCGTGCCTGAGATGCTCTGGGGGCAATCCCGGCTGCTCGCTACCCTCTCCGAACAGCTCCCCGCCCAGCAAAACAGACGAGATGGCTGCCATCCGTATCAGGGCCCCTCGTGCCGGGGTCCAGCCCGGCTGGCTCGCTGGCTCGCTGGCTGCGCTGGTACTTGAGACGGTACAACGGCCCGTGCCAAGATCGACTTAAGATGGGCATCATTGTGCTCATCATTGCTGCTCTGCCCCTTCAGCCCTGTCCATCATCTCCACCCCGTCTCGCATCCTCTGCCACCGTGCCTAGTGCCTGGGTCTGTTCCCTGCCGTCGCATTTCCTCTCGTCATGGGACAGGGGGGGCGACTGCGGTCATGCCCTTGCCTCTGCGGCGCTCCTTGATCCCCTTGATGCACTCCTATCCCAAGGGGACCCAAGGGGAACATCATGTACCCACTGCCCTGTGTCCTGGCGCGCCCAGGGTGGGACTGTATACACACGGGAAGCGCAGAAGCCTGATTTAACCTTAAAAAGTTGCGGCAGGGATGCAGCCCTGTTGGAACAAAATACCCGGCTAGTCCTCGACCCCTGCGTCTCGCTCCCTGACCGTGGGGCTCTCCTCCTGCAAGGCGGCTCGCCTCCTTTCCCAATGTGCGCCCTCCCACGGCCGCCATCGCGAGCGAGCAAGACAGAGAGGCCCGCGAGGGTGTCCACCTGCCCACTTAAACACACCCCGGCAGCGCGACTTCTTGGCGATGGGGACAAGCGAAACCAGTCAAGCATCTGAATATAAAGCGGCCGGTCTTGGCTCGCCCACAGCTATATCTGAATTCCCCCCTCGCTTCCTCGCCCACAGTCTTCTACGCTCTTTATCTGTTCGACCTGTCGTCTCATCTACTTCGTGTCGTCGCGCGCTGGTTGTGTATTTTTTACATTCGTTCGCTCTCTTCGTCGGATGTAACGAGGTTTTCTGTTGTAAACCTCGTCGTCATTCCTTTCACCCACGCGCACGCGTCAACCCCCACATTACTTTTTGGTCTGGTACCAACCATCGTCTAGGACGACGGCTTCATTTCTTCAGCCTCACAGATACCGACTAACGAGCACACCTTAATTCTCTCACCCAACATGCAACTCAACACCCTCGTCTTCGCCCTCATGGGCTTCTCTGCCGCCGTCGAGGCGTCTGCCATCCACCGGCACCAGGACGGCCTCCTGGTCTCGAGGCAATTTGGTGGCGGTGGTTTCGGAGGTGGCGGCTTCGGCGGTGGCGGCTTCGGCGGTGGCGGCGGCGGCTTCGGCGGCGGACAGGGCCAAGGCCAGGGTCAGGGTCAAGGACAACAAGGAGGGCAGGGACAACAGGGCCAGCAGGGCCAGCAAGGTCAACAGGGACAGCAAGGCCAGAATGGACAACAAGACCAGAATGGACAGCAGGGTCAGAACGGCCAGGATGACCAGAACGGTCAGAACGGCGGCAACAGTAAGTGTCTTCATATTTCCTCCTCTTTGGGTTGAGAAGAGAGATATTAGGCCTTGGACTGGGCTCCAACATCAACAATCGCTAACACTCAAGCCAGACAACAACAACAACAACAACGGTGGAAACAGTATGTGATGACTACGATTTATTCCCTGTTACGAGCGGTATCTCTTTGCTCCAGGAATATGTTTAACTGACTTTCCCACAGACGGTGCTCAGTGTCTGCAGGCCGATGCCGTCCAAGATGGCTCGGCATCAGATGGACAGGAAGCAGGTGCCGAAGAGGGCCAGGCCGCCTCCATCACGGATGACAACAACTTCATCAACTTCTGCTCCGGCAAGACCCTGACCAATGGTCTTCAGAACAAGCAGGGATCCTGCAACGGTATTCCCATGGGAGAGATCCCAGCGCAGAACAACATGGCCTCGACCATCATCACAAGCCCTGTGCCTGGCAAGGAGCCGCAGCCCAACGAGGACTTCGATGTCAATGTCCAGATCGCAAACATGGACCTGGGTACCTTCACCAACCCCGACAACACCTACTACTCTGCTCCCCAGCAGCTCGGAAACGGAGGCAACGTTATTGGCCACACTCACGTCACCATCCAGGACATGGGTAACTCCATCACCCCGAACCAGCCTCTGGATGCCTCTCAGTTCGCCTTCTTCAAGGGTATTAACGACGCGGGCAACGGCAACGGAGGTCTGAGCGCCACGGTTACTGGTGGTCTCCCAGCCGGTAACTACCGTGTCTGCACCATGGCCGGTGCTTCCAACCACCAGCCTATCCTCATGCCTGTTGCTCAGCGGTAAGCATTCCATGCCTAACATCTCTCCGTGGGGCCCACCAAGAGAGTCTTGCTGACATAATTCGTTCTTAGTGGTGCCCAAGATGACTGTGTGAGAGTGAGTACAACCGCGATTCAAAGTGATGCAGAGCTCAAGAACTAACTGTTTCAGATTACCATCGGCGGTGGCAACAACGGAGGCGGCAACAACAATGGAGGCAACAACAACGGCGGCCAGGGCCAGAATGGTCAACAGGGCCAGAACGGTCAGCAGGGCCAGAACGGTCAACAAGGCCAGAATGGACAACAGGGCCAAGGCGGTCAACAAGGCCAAGGTGGTCGCGGTCAAGGAGGCCAACAAGGACAAGGTAATTCCCAATCCTCCCAGGGCGCTTCATCCAGTTCCAACACCGACTCCAATGCCTCCGAACAAGCTGGTGCCACTCCTTCATCTGCCACTGCACCCTCCAAAACATCAGGCTCCTCTTCCTCCGCTGGTAAAGCAAACAAAGGTCAAAAGGGACAGAATGGTAACGCCCAACAGGCCGCGGAAGGCAATAACTCAACCGCATCCGCGAACGAGTCCGAAGGCAACGCTAAGAGCGGGTCCTCTTCCTCCTCCTCCTCCTCCTCCTCCTCGAGCGGAGGTGCCATCGGTGGCATCTCGGCCCCCGCGGTGACGGATTCCGGCAACCCGGACCGGCCCTTCTCAGTCAACGGCAACACTTTCGTTAATGAAGGCGCCGCTATCCAGCGTGCCTGCGCTATTCAAAACAACGCGTGCGCAGACGCCGTCAATTCAGGAAAGGTCTCTGGCCAGACAGTCGGCGACTGCAACGCGCAGGAGCAGACGTGCAATTCGAAAGGCGCAGCATAGAGAGCTTATGGCAGATCTTGAGTACCTTTTCCTCCAGACGCAATGGTGGCCCACTGTTTGTGATACCCCTAACTGGACTGGTTGGCCACCGACCGATCGTTACCGTCTAACTCACTACGCCACTCTCTATGCTCTTGCTTGCCGTCGGATTTTGCACGCCAGGTTGCCTGCCATCTTGATGATGATGGATATGATGGGTCTACGAAAGTCTTTTCTTGTACTGCTGCTCCTGCTGCTCCGATGTCACAATATCTCTCTTTTTTCACGTTACGCTCTACGTTTTTCTCTGGAGGAAAAAACACAACACAGATATGCTTGTAATTTAGATTGGTGGGACGAGAACGCGTTGACGCTCACAGTCGTCCGGCGTCAGAAGGTTCAATGAGATGAGATGGTGATCCAAATGAGATGAACTCGTCCACACGCGACTGGACTGACTTCCAAAAAGGACAGTGGACAGAGTCCTGCATTACACTCCTTACACGCACACTTTCTTTTGCAACCATGCCACGATTTCTGCATCATACTCGCAACTTCGTGGCCAGGCCCCAAACCCCAGAAACGTGGTTCTGTGGCCCAGTGCGGCAGACAGGTACGAGGGGAAAAAAGCAGATGTCGTCAAACCTCGCCAAAACCTGCCGAGGATTTGCCAAGGAGAACCTGGGTCAGAAGCGAGGCAAGAAGATCTTGATCGACGGCGCATTGTCTCAGGTTCGCAAGTCCAACCCTGCATTTACCCGAGCCATCCCCACGCGAACCTCCTGCGACTTCTCAGCCACGCCCGGGGCCCTTGCACGTTCCTGCGCGACTGCTTTGCGAAAGTCGTGCCCACGGGTCTGTTCAGCCCATGTTAAGGTTTGTAATAAATACTCCGGCGAGGCTTCTGCTTTCTTCTTTGCCCGCGGGGGTCCTCCCGGCGTGTTCTTGCAGGCCGGCGGCACCACCCACTTGAACTCGCTTGCCCCCTCCGCCCAGGGAGAGAGACTCGGCCGAGACGTAGGAAGCGGGAGCATCTTGGCTTCTGTGATGACGTTTCAAATCATTTTCTCCTCTTATCATGTCCCATTTCTTTTGCGCTGCCTTTTGCAAGGAGAGCTCCAACGTAGTCGGTCCTTCCATGGACTCAGTCAACCCCGGCCTCGCAGTGTGCTGACAGCAATTGGATCGCCAAGATCGCCGAAACAGATCCGCGGGACACTCTGCGAAGCCCCCAGGGAGCAACTGTAGGGAGGTCACTGTGATCGCTCGCTGGCATTACGGTACAGGCGTATGCTTGCAGCCCTGAGTCAGCCAATTGTTTGTGATGTGCCCAAACAACCCCGCTTTCCTCTTGAGCATGAGACAGTTGAAGAAGGCTGAGGCATGTTGTGAATTGCTGAAGGGGACACGAGCTCGGTGTGCTTCGTCTGGAGCACGGGCGCCTACTGAGTAGCGACTTATTAATAAGTTATATGTAACCGTGGCTCAGCAAGGCAAGACCGAGGTGCAATGGCCTGTCATGCCTCACTCAAGTGGAGCTCTGTTCTTATTTCGCGCAGGGCATTGGAATGCCAAATGTTGGTTGGTGTCCACTTCATCAACTCGACAGAGAATCTGTGTAATCACCTCACTGTGGGACAGCACCGTTCAGGATGGCTGGGTAAATTGTAACAGGAGCTCTAACATCGTCACTGAATTCCACACCTATTGAACCTATCGCTATGTGATGAGTCTCAGTCCGCACTACTGTCTGCGACTTCTTGGACATGCACCTGTTGGTCCAGCAAGTCTGTGGGCAGAGACAACAGTGCGACGCACGACATCGGAGACTTGATCCTATTGGAACCCGATTCTGATAAGGGTCGGGAACATGCAGCGAGATGATCGACACACACTAGCTTGGAGCACTGAATTGCCCGAAACCAGCCCTGTTTGGGTGCAGTATGTACACAGTCCTCAACGTTCCTCGCGCGCGCGCGCCGCACGGTGATCACACTGAAGGCCTTCTTACTCCCTCGATCCTCTTCTGTTGTCATCCTTGTCTCACCGACCAATGTGAGCCCAGCCTGTTGCTGATCATTCACTTTCATTTTGACAAGACTCTCAAGACTGACATCAGACGCCATGCCAGCCTTGCCTTCCCGTGATCTACGTTGGCACATGGCCTTGGGTCCCGGGTCGAGTGACGAATGTCACTGGTGATCATACACTACAAGACCCTCTCAACGTTTAACTTGATTGATTTGGCCGCTGTCTCATGTCTTGGCTGATCGAACTGTCTTTATTCCCCGAGCTGTCAAAAAGACAGTGTCTGCTTGGCACGGCGAGGATCAAACTCATCTACCTTCTGACACTGACGGAGCGCGTTAGGTATCATGGGAGCTTTTAGACCTGATTTCAAGGCAAAGGAAGACTCAAACATAGTTTCACACACGGTACGCAAAACCCATCTAGCTTTATGGTCTGCTTCTACAAACCATACCAATCCGTACCAAAACCGTTTCGAGGCATCCAACCAGTCCGTCTTATTCGAGCTTGTGCCAGTTTTTGTGACCAGTCCCAGAATAGTGTCCTTTCTATATATTCAGAAAATCTGTAAGAAGCATCTCAAACTTCCTGGACATTCATTTTGTAATGCTGTGAGAGACAGTGGGGAGCATTCTCAATGACCTATGTACAATGTGGTAAACTGTCAAGAGGCTCCAGTGTTACAAATTCACTTCGAACAAAACGAATTCGGAGAAGTTTCTTTGAAATTACTTTGTATTTGTTCATGGACCGTGTTCTTCATTTATCGCAACTGAGGTCGAGATCAAAAATTGCGCAGCTGTTGCTGGTAGGGGAGTCGTACATAAAGTAGTATACAGTAGTCCGCCTGCCACGACTTGAATATACAGCAGATTTGATATTGGCCAGACGATGATAATACGTTAATCGTTAGGTATGCTTGAGATTAAATCCAATATTCTCCCCAGCCCCTGCAAATCTCCCTCTTTTGTCCCAGCCTTGTCCTTATCAACCCAACTTCTAGTATACCCGCCCTCGAAATCAATGACCCACGCATCGCTATTCTTGTCAATGAGCACATTGTCAGCTTTGGCGTCTCCCCAAACGGCTCCCGCCTTGTGAAGCTCCTCGACCGTGTGGCTGACCTGCCTCGCCCAACGCTCTCTCAGATGCCGAGGAGGATCGTCGTAGAGGGCAGATTGCAGCGTCATTCCGTCTTCATGGTCTACCAGAGAGAGAAGCAAGCCCAACGTAGCATCCTCATCCTGAAGATGAACAATCCCCTGCAGCCGGCTCACCCGCACGTCTGGGCCCAGCTTTGCGTCGTGCACTTTCTGATGCACGGCAAGCTCATGCGTCATTGGGTTTTCCGACGCGAGCCCGAAGTGCTTGAAGAAGCACAACGTCTTGTGCCCGGATTTGTCTAGGTCTGCGAGTACCAACTCCGGAATCATATAAAGCGCCTGCTCAGGGCGCTGGAAAACGACCTCAAGCTCTAAAGGGTCATAGAAGCGCGTCCAAGTCTCAAGTTCATCCAGAAGGTCGCCATCGAGGAACGATCGCGGTTTGACAAGGCTACCTTCATTGTCGACGTGGACTGGGATGAATTTGTTGTCTTGGGCATCCAGTCTGCAGCCAAAAGTTTCTGGAAATAGGTATTCGGAGAGGAGCGGCCTGGATATGCCGCCAGAAATCTTGCGGGGGTCAAAAGAAGGTGGTAAGTCGGGTGCAAGCTGTGAGAAAATGGGCTCGAATATGTTTGCCAGCCATTCGAACGCCTCTGTGTCAGCAATGCCATCAACCTCCCCATCACTGTCTGGAAGAATTGAAGCAATGTACTTCAAATACTGGTTGAGAGCGGCTGGAGAGTTGCGAAAGTGGGAAACCGACAATTCAATAACAAAGAGTCTGCCATGATACCTCATTGAGACAGTGACATCCTCAGAAACGTCGTCGCCTGTGATGGTGCTGACAGGATTGGCAGAACATGCCGTCCATTCAATCATCGATGATGTGGAACTCATGGCGAGCTGATCGTTGGTGCGAAAAGGGGACGGCGTGGAAAATGGTGACTGCCTATTTTTGGTGACTAGGTCCAGGGCTTCTGACCCAAACCCTTGAGTGTTGTGCTTCCGTGATGTCTCTAACTAGGCAACCATGTCTTGGCTGACCTCTTCTTGATAGCTAAAAGACCCACAAAGCTTTCACTGAGCATATTCAGGTCCAGTTCGGCTACCGTAATTATATCTAAGACAGCAAGTGGTAAAGTTTTGTTTGCCTCCCTAGAGCCTTTTGTCTCCTCTTACTTGGCACCTAACATCTTAGCCTGCTGAACTGTGGATACGTCCTCATACATCAACATACTACACACCTTTCCACCCTTTAGCTATCTGACAATGCCACACCAAAATAAGCTGAGAATACTCTACTATCACTATCATCCGGATCCTCATGGTGCAAGTTTCAGTGGTCTGGGGACATCTGCTGCACCTGCAGCTGAGGGGTCTAGGGCACCTGCCAAGCAGCCAGCTAGTGTGGGCTCTGCTCTTGTCCAAAGGCAACAACACCATTACCACCGATAGAATGAAGAATTTTGCTGTGGATGATGGAGCTGAGATCAGATTATCTTGCCCACGCCTGTGTCGGCTGGTAGACTGCTGTGACAATGGATGGGGCCTATGAGATGGGCTACACCAGCGTTGGGGAATGGAGTTCCTGGCCATGGGCATACTCATGACTCCTTGCGCTGTTTGTGCCGTTGATTCCATCTGCCACTCCGTAAACCATGATAGTGTCACTGGAAGGTTTGGCCTTGATCTTAGTTTTGGTGTCAGTCTAAGTCTCTAATATAAGCTTCATTCCAAGCTCCGCTTGCCCACTAAGGTAAAACTAACTGTTATACTATGAGCAGCTGCTTTCTCATTGCACTGATTATCTTCTAATTTAACCTCCACCTTTTGCCTCTTAACACAGCCACCTCTAGTGTGAGTAGATTGCTTACGCACACTTGCCTTTACAGCTCTGCAGCTGGGATTATAAGAGGGATCACTATTGTTACCAGAGGGCTCAGAGACATGGCAGCTGGCTTCAAATACTTTAATTTAATCTGAGTGGGACCTGTCTCTCTACGCAAATAGGAGGACTTTCAAAAGGCCCTGGGCGCTATAGAAGAAGATGCCCAGAGGGCGTATTGTGGTGGCTGAGTTGGCCGTTTATGTAAGCAAACTGCATCCCACATCCCATTGATACTGCATCCGGCAACACCATGTAGTTGCCCAAGAACAAACTTGGGTTCTTTAATCTATATTCTTTATTTCTAAAACCTAGACATTTTTCATTCACTCATGTGAAACTCTTCTCCTCAGGCAACATAATACATCACACTACGAAAACAGCTATTTCTCTCTCTATTATTCAATAGCCCTACTAAAAGTTTCGCTGTATCTGAGTATGACTATACTTCGGCAGAACCTAGCTCAAATGGGCAATGATAAGTGGTCCCTATTCCTTCGCCAACGTCGACTCAAGGACCAACTTCGGCGGCTTAGGAATGACTTCAAGGGCTGCTACTGCCCGCCTGCTTGCCGAGGTGGCCTGCAAAACCATGTCACTGCTGATGCTACATTGCTACCACCACAAGACCTACATGGCCCATATGTGTCTGTAGATGGTGGTTTTCCCAGGACATCTGGCAGGCCACCGATTCGGACGGATCACAGGTGCACAGTCCTCGCTGAGGCACGAGGAACATCAGATATACTACTCCATCGGAATAAGACTAGGGCCACTCTGCGCATGTCGCTACAAGTCCATACAGATGCAGACCAGCGGGGCCGGTTTGGATACTATGGGGAGATGTTCCTAACACAAACAGGGGGGCGGGAGGAGTTCGTTGGCTTTATCCACTCCTGGCGTGTGGACCGAACGACAAAAGAGTGGGAGACGCTCTACTTGAACGAAGAGGTGTTGGATGATACTGAGTTTGGTTACATGCGCGAGTTTATCCGGGACATCTACGGGACCAAGAAAACAGATGATTATGATCGTGATCAGAACGGAAGTGTGCTCCCTGAAGCCCCAGTCCGAAGGAACTTTGGAGCACCTTGGGCAGGGCTTAATCGAAACACTGATTTGATCTTCATACCTATGATATGGTTGCACGAGAATGTTTGTACTAGCATAAATAATATGCATCTCTATTAGCCCCCACCCCATGCCTCCCTTACTTATGCTTATATTATATTAATACGAGTGTTCTGACTAATCTTGGGTTGAAGGTGTCAGGAAACCGAGTTATTGACCAGGGCCTTGAGTTATTCTATAGGTTGATAATAGGTGGGACATTACCAGCGCGTAAGTTGCATGTCCAACTCGAGTTAAAATATCATATATCTACATATCAGTTTGGGTAAGGCTGACTACTTGCATGGAAGAATATAACATCACTTGCCCATTGACAATCCTTTTAGAGCCGGGTGAAATGGGTCCGCCATATGATAATATATTTCGGGACCCTACAGGCAAACTCACTATGGACCCGACAGAAGTGGAAAAGATACTGTCGAGTATGTACGCAAGGAATGGATTCATTCCCCTCTGGGGCGAGCTACTTGATGAACGAAACAAAATAATGGGCCGTAGGGTGGAACCTTGGGACCACCCTGCTGCCCCTACGGACATAGCCATTATGCCCCCAGATCCGCCAATTCCATTTAAAAAGATCCAAAAGTTGGAGGACTGGGGGTATGGTGTTTACGATGATGATACGGATCAGGAGATACGTCGTGCTATTGTGGGAGACATATACCCAGACGTCGAGGTATCCCAGCTTCATGCCATCCGCATTACTGCGCCGCCTCCAGGTCGACTAGTGATCGATAAGCTTATCTACTTCGACGTTAGAACAACTGCCGGCAACACCTTAGCTGTTACACAAGCCTGCAATAAGAAAAATGATGAAAGCCCCTGGCACGAGAAGCTATCGCTACGCGACATCATACTCGCGCTCTGGGTTTTCCATCTAAGGAGGGCAGCCCACGATCTCAGTGCTATCATATACTATATTGTGATAGAAAAGGAGCTTCGCGACAGACTGTTCCAGTTTGTTTACACATTAGTGGATAAAGATATACTTACTAATCTAGTTCTCAACAGGGAGACTAAGTCTCCACAAGAGAAAGAGGCATTCAGTCTGTTGTTAAGGGAGGCACCATTCTGCATTGGAGTTAGTAAGATGTTGGGGGAGTTCGAAGAGTTTACAGGAGTTTATATCAAGTCACTTGAGTTCCTTCCTGTAGATACGGAATACCCTGATCAAGCGAGTATGCCACCGTTCCATTTTCGCATCAATTTTCACAAGGCCGGGAGAGAATGAGGATAGAATGGGCCCTTCTAAGCTGTTGAGGAGACATGGGAGAGCAAATATGTGTCGGCCAGCTTTTATGCCGAAGACCGAGTAATAGAACATGGATCAATGATAGACGCAACCCACTCGCAGATAACAATTGACGTGGATGACTACAAGCAGCTTTGGACGTGGGTGTTGCAGGGCTTCGGGCTAGTATCGCACAGTGTTGCAGAACTACTCTACAGCACTACTGTCTGGCGACCGGGATCTCCATTCTCTTCAGAATTGAGATGAAACGCAGAGGTCCTATACACCTAGATAGTTCTCCACACAATATATGAGATATCATATCGTATTGCGAGTGTGAGGCTACAAGTCTGCAGTAAATCAGTTTGGCATATGCGAAGTTGAAAGCATCAAAGCGAAGCTCGACTCAAATTTTGTAAACCGAGTCAATGTCGGACGACGCATACTTAAATAGTTCTCTCGATCGCAAGAGTTTAAATGATTGTCCTAGGGTGCTCCCCCAAATTATCAGGACTTTCAGCTTTGGTAGATTTCATCATTGCAATGATGAGCAAGCCACTTATTGGCTAAATCGCAGGACATGTCTGGATCTATGTTGATGGTCGACACATGCAAGCAAAATTATCTTGCCCCTAGAAATATCATGATCACCTCAGAAGAACCTCCTTGCTATCTCTGCTAAGCTGCTGCGAGGTGATCGGATTCGAGTAAGAGCGAGAGTGAGACGAGTTGTGAGGGTTGAAAAGCCTCACGGTGTTCACCCGCTTGTTGCTATAGCTGCGGCGCATTTCTTGCAGCGCAATCGTCTCGGAGGCATTCGTAGAAGATTGACTCTTTGCTTGGTTCTCCCAGGGCAGGATGGTAGCGGGATCGCAGGTGTACCCATCGTTGGCGCGGCTCCGCTTCCCGTCTTTGCCACCCTCGTCTTCGATCTGAGTGAAAGCCCGCGGTTCGTGCGTCACTTTCACTTCCACTTCGCGAGTGATCATGATTTTGTCGATGTTACGTCGCAAGTGCGGCCAAAATACAGGAAGAGAAGCCACAATTGTCGCGAGGTCGACTTCCAGAATCGACAGAATGCAAGTAGATGCACCGTACCATGAGGGATCGAATGTAGGGGACGTCGTCGCGCGGGTGTGTACAATAATTATGAATCGGATAACGGAGCAGATGACAGAGCTAGACAGAGGTATCAGCAATGGCATTACCTTCTATATCAAGGGGACAGATGGGTTAGGCAGGTAGTCAACTCACAGGCCACCCAGAATGTAGAGACCGATCATAGCTATTCGTGATTTCAGCTGCTCATCGGCTGTCACCCACATCGATCTCGAAAAGACGGGAATGGCAAGTACGGCGATGTCAATAAGCATGTTGCAAGCACCGTGGATGATATCTTGGTATGTTAGCCATCTGTCGCGAAACCAGATTCCACAGGTCTGCAGGATATAACAAGAAGCCTAAAGTTAGGCACAGACATAAACGTACATGTGGCAACAAAGGGGCCGACTTCGTCGCTCCCATATCCATACCGCGTCGCAGTTTCGTCGAAATGCCAGTGACCTTCCACGGGGATGCAAGGAACCCAGGCTAGGATTGAATAGACGACGCCCCAGATCGAGGTGACTACAATAAGGAAGATTATAGCGATTCTGGTTTTCGGTTGCTTCGTTTCTGGATTTTCGTCGAGGAGGCGAAGATACTGGAAGAGTAGTGAAAGCTTGACCAAAGCCAAAGCCATGTTGTAGCAACCATTGCACCACCAGAACGTCTGTAAGTGAAGCATAATAAAGAAGTTAGCACTCCACACGACTATACTGCCGTCAGGAGTGTCACAGCGAGGCGGATGTACTGAGTGCAAGTTTGCATGGGAATATGTTCCATACCTTGACGAAAGCTGTCATTCCATCCGGACCCAGGAGGACGAAGTGTTTCCCCAGCCCATTATTCGTCACTTTGGACTCATTTCATTAGTAACCGTTGGTCCAGAAGTTGCAATCCGCGGGCACTACCTAGGCCACTCACGAATGCATGATCCCACATTAGTTATCCACGTTGTGATCTGCTGGCTGTTTAGCAGGAGACAAACGACCGCAGGTTCCCGTGCAGAATATACCCACGATCAGTGATATTACGAGAATGTCGTCCCAACCAGGGCATCGTGTTACAAAAAACCTCACATATAGCCGCAAGCTGACACAAAATGAGGTGACAATCTAAACCAAGGGTCAGCATTTCTTTCTGGGGTTTGTGTCGGGTTTGAGGTTATTACTAGAGACGTGATTACTAGACCGAAAATAGTGGTCCGGCGGTTTATCAGAGGCGTTGGCTCGTCCAGATTATCAACAGCACCGATCAGTGCGAAAAGAGACATGACATGCTGTTCCCGAACGGCCGTCACATAAGAGAAGAGGAATGAAGCGGGAACCGGCCAGGCTTATGCGAAGTTGATGTTTTCTTCGCGAACGCGTGGAGACACTACCAATGACATAGATGTGAGAGAGCGAAGGAGAGGGAAAGTTTGCCTGGTCGGAGAAGCAAGCAGCGGCCCAACATATTTGCTGTGGTGGTAGAAACTCTATGCCCAGTGCTGATCACTGCCGGTCTGGACCATCAAACTCGCTCATCTTGCGTAGGATAGATGGAACTCCACTGAATGTAACCATCTGTATTGGCAGGAACAGGTTCTGATACGACTCGCATGGAAAGGTCGCTCTCGGGAAGTGGGCTTGGGCTGTTCCTATGACCACCCCGGCCAGACACGCGGTTCATCCCTCTCCCCGCTCGTTCCCATGTCTGCCGAGCAGTCGCGAGTCAGAAAGGTGCGTCAAGGTAGTCTATAAAGGACCGGGTGTTGTGCCCGTGCGCCCCGGGGCACCAAGCTTGGTATAACTACGGATTGCAGCTCGCAGGGATGTCAAGCATGGGAAGTGCAATTTGATCGCTCGATTCGCAATCAGAGTATCGTTCTCTGGATCAATATCCAATCATGCCTTATCAAGTTATACACTAACATATCCTACCTTCATTTTCGTCAACTTGGCAATCCATGGCCCTCCGGAAATGTGAGAACAGGTTGGCGCCGAATTGTCAGAAAAAACAAAAGTGCACTGGGTTGCAGTACTTCAGTTGCCAGTCGAGAGGCTTTTTTGGGATGGAAAGAACCAAGATCTGTGCCGAATCAAAAGGTGAAACCAAGCTATTTCTTCATATTGTTGATATTTTGACCTAGTATATAAGGTGTGGTTGCCCCTTGTAGACACTCACGTCGCTATGACAGTCACGCGTCCTCACACTTTTATTCCCGGTCATCTGTCTTTTCCAGCCAAGTTGTCACGCAACATGCAGGTTTACAAGAAGCAATTTACAAGGTTTGTCACACTCAGTGTGTCAACTTGCGAGTCATTCACTGACTCGGATCATAGACGGTAATTTTCTACCTTCCCTCTCACAAGGCTGTTTAAGTCTTGTCGCAACTTCCAGTCTCAAACGCTTCTGCACCAACAAGCGCCAATGGGTTGCTTTCTTAAACAAAGAAAAAGAGTCTCCGTTGAGGAGAATTTGTATAGCAACTGAGACTAGACTTGAAGATTAAGGAAGACAGTTTGTGAGAGTTTTATCTAAGTAGCTCCTTGCAATGTACCTAGGTAATATGATATATAATCTCTGGAATCTCTGATGGCCCTACTATAGTATATGAAATGTGGGGTGAATTTTAAACCCAGCTTAAATGTACAGGCAATTTTCCTATTTAATAATTTCTTTAGCTTCAGCCATATTGTGTTTTCTTTTAAATTAATTATTTATTGGTTTATTTGCTGTTTGCTTAGTTTTTTAACATATTCCTTAGCATCTTTAAGTTAATATATAAATTTACATATAACTTAATATATTTATTTATATTTCATTAATAAAGAAATCTTAAAACTCCTTTTTTACCCTTTATTTTTAATTGCTTCTTTATACTTTAAAGCATTTTTAATTACTTATAATAAAAAAGTAAATTTAAAATAATATAATATAATTATATTTCTTTATATTTATATTTATATTTATATTTATATTTATATTTATATTTATATTTATATTTATATTTATATTTATATTTATATTTATATTTATATTTATATTTATATTTATATTTATATTTATATTTATATTTATATTTATATTTATATTTATATTTATATTTATATTTATATTTATATTTATATTTATATTTATATTTATATTTATATTTATATTTATATTTATATTTATATTTATATTTATATTTATATTATATTTTATATTTATAGTTATGAATATGCCATAGGGGGACAGCAGCACTGGTCATGATAGGCACTATGGGCAATTAGCACTAAAGCACCGGCAAGCAAGGGTTACATGTAGCAGCACGTAACCACCCCTAGATAGTCTATAGCCAGAGGGAGGTTTTACAGCCTATAACCGCAACCCTCCTTCCTTTTATATAGCTAATTTAAATATAACTAGTTTATTATTAATTAATATATATTAACCTAATTAATATTAATTAATAACTATTTATAAGTAATTATAAATAGCAAGATAAGTACGCAATAAATCTATATTGCTATTAATTAAGCAGCAATTATTAATAATAAAAATTATTATAATTAAGTTATAATATTTATGCTAAATAATTAATATTAATATTATAAAGATAAATAATTATTAATAATAAAACTTTACTTAACTAAATATTAATAATTATGTTATAATTAAAACTAATAAAAAGAAATTAATAATGCCTTAACCTTCTTATTATAAAGATTTAATCTATTAATTAATAAATCCTTAATAATACCTTAAATTTATTAATTATATAGTATATTTTATTATATAATTAATGCTAAAAGTACTTATAATTACTTTACTTTAATATAAATAATAATTTATATTTATTTAAGTTAATAAATACTTTTTAATAAATACTTTTTTATTATATAATTAATACTTTCTTTTTATGCTTTAAAATAATCTTATTATATTCCCTTAATTACTTTTTTTCTTTTTTTCTTATATATAAATTACTTAAATATTTTAATAGCCTAGCAAAATAGCTAAATTTAATAGTAATGTTAAGGAAATATCCTTAAATATTAATAACGCTTTTATATAAAAACTTTAATTACTCTTTAATCTTAATAAAAGGTTTTAAAGTTAATAAGTTAATCTTAGTTATTAGGATAAACTAATAATAAAGGTAAATAACATAATTAATTAAGTAAATGTTGCTATTTTTAAGTTTATAAAGAAAATAATAAAATACTAAAATATAAATAATAATTTACTTTAATGCTTTATAAAAAACTTTGCTTTTTAAAATATAATAATATTTAAAAAGTTAATTATTATTTAAAACTTTAAGAAATTCCTTTAAAAGAAAGGAGTTAATATTAAAGAAAGCGCTAATAAGCAATATATTAACTTAAAAGTATTACTTATATATAATAAGTATCCTTTATAATAAGAAAAGGAATTATATAAGGCGGTTAATATATATAAATTTTCTAGGTTTTATACTTAATAGCTTTAATTTTAAAAGTTAAAAATAATAAGTACTTAAGAAATACTTATTATTTAAGAAATTTAAGAAACTTTAGCTCTTAATATAATTCCGTTATTTATAGCTTCTTTTTATTAAAACTTAAAGCAATTAATTCCTTTTATTAAAGATAATAAAGAATCTTAAAAACTATAATCTTTTTATCCTTAACTATTTATAAAATTAAAATAAAATACTATTTAACCAATTCTTTTATAGTAAATATTATAATTATTATCTTATAAAAAGGAAACCCTTAATTAATTAAATATAAGGGCTCCCTTAAGATATTAAGAAATATTATCTTAATAAAAACTAAGTTTATTAAAATACTTAAAAACTTTATAACTTAAAGAATAATTTATAAGCATTTCCCTTAAGAAGTTAATAAAAACTCTATACTTAATATTATTATTTATT